AAGCAATCTGTGCTTCAGCCTAACTTTTGATCCTTAAGGTATTTGCTGTGTAGTAAATGTATAATCATTGGCTGGATACAAGGCTGCATAATACGCACTTTGTTCCAGCGCAGTCCACGTGCTGGTGGTGTTAGGTGTATATACCAGACAACTCTCAGTTAATCTGGGTGATCTTTAGACTCATTTGTTGTGTGGTAAATGTATAATCATGGGTAAGTAACAGATAGTTAATTTGCCACACAAGAGTTTTCATTATAAGAAAATTCCTCCTCTCCTGCCTGTCCAAATCATTTACTATATGTGAAAGATCAGAAAGATATGGATACTTCATATGGGAAAAGGTTTGGTTTCTTTATCAGTTTTATATCTTGACACTGTAATGAGAATGGAAAACTAGCTCTCAGAGTTCTTTTCCCTGAGAGGCCTCTTTGGGCTTGGAAGGAGGAAGGACAAGGGAATGGTTTTTGCCAGCTATATTTAAATCTGGATTAGCAACTCTGAAAAACCGTTCTGGATCAGCCTGAGAAGAGTAAGCCCCAGGGCCAGGAAAGCAAACAACATTAATGCATGCAATGCATGAAATGACAATACATGAAAATCATCCCTAATTATGACAATTCCTTCACAAAAGTCATTTTCACTGTAGGATAACTTAGTATGAAGGTTGATAGTATACACCAGAATTATTTTAAGGCCATTTTACACTACTGCAGCTCTAAGTACACCTTTTGTAAGGAAACTTTTCAGAAGGCAGCATAAGCTATTGCAGATGCTCAAAGCTGGCCAGCAGCTATGAAAACCTCCAACAGTTACGCAGAAAATCCATGTGATGAAAGGATAAGCCTTAGCCTGACAGAGCAACCAGCGCATCCCCTGCTGACTGGTGCATTATGACACTGTTTCAGAGAGGGACTCTTCATCAGGGACTGTAGCGATAGACAAGCGGTGATGTGTTTAAGCTGAAACAGGAGAAGTCCAGGTTAAGTATAAGGCAGAAACTCTCCCCTGTGAGGGTGCTGAGGTGCTGGCACAGGGTGCCCAGAGAAGCTGTGGATGCCCCATCCCTGGCAGTGTTCAAGGCCAGGTTGGACACAGGGGCTTGCAGCATCCTGCTATAGTGGAAGATGTCCCTGCCCATGGCAGGGATTTGGAACTGGATGAGCTTTAAGGTCTTTTCCAACCCAAACCACTCTGGGATTCTATGATTCTAAATTATGAAAGGCTGGTTCACTAACCAAAAGGATTAATTGTTTTTAAACATCAGTTGTGACACTAAACCAAAGGGTTTGAGTTCACAATACTGCTCTGTCAGGGTTCAACAACCTGGCAGACATCAGCAGCAGACAGTAAGACAGGGATCACCCCCACTGGTTGTGTGTGCATCATTTGCAAGAGTGCAGTGATGTACTACTTCCATGTAGCCCAAAGGAAACAAGTGTGTAAGCAAAAAAAACTTGGATCCTGCTAATGCTGCAGATAAGTAGCTGCAGGAGTGGGAGAGAATTCAAATCAACCCAGTTTTTCACTTATTTTCTTTGTCTTTACGGTGTCACTTACGGCTCATATAAATCCCACAAACTCATACACACACACAACCTTTGGAAACAGCATTCTCCCTTCAAAGAATATCAAAGAAATCACTGACCTGAGATAATGGCTTTTTCTTTCAACAGTTAATACCTCCAATAAAAACTATGTTGGGCATCGCTGGCATGGGATACTCAAAAACAAAATCCATTCTTTTAAGCCAAATGGATCCATGGCTTAACAGCTCCTTCATTGTTACTGGTTTGTGAAGAACAGCTGAGGCCAGAAGTTCAAATGGTAGATAGGCAGAATTGCAAAGAAAGGATTCTGATGCCTTGAGAAGTAAGTTTTCCACAGGCTGGATAAATGTCATGTGGTCTGAGTTGTCTGTAAATGTTCTTGGGACATAGGAATAGGGATCTGGACACTGAGTAGCCTGCAAATCAAAGCTGCAGGGGAGTCCCCTTAGAAAGAAAATGGATGGTATAGAGAGATGCAGAGCCAGTATTTGTCCACAAGGTACAACAGGATCCGTGAGAACAGCATCAAATTTGCTCCCTTCCAGATATTGCATCAGATCCTTGTTGTTCAGTAAACTGCTACAGGAGGAGACGTAGAGCTCAGAGATGACTTGAGCCTTTTCATAAAGTGCAGTAATTCTCTGAAGAAAAGGTCTTCTCTCAAAAAGATCCTTTGCAAATGCACGCATCCTTGCTCCCAGTTCTGCCCTAGTTGAAGGCACTGGGTATGTTTTCAGAGTGTAATACTCGGACATTTCAGAGTGTAATACTCGGACGCCTTCACATTCAAGGTTACTTCTGGTGCGACAGTGACAATGTGGTGCTGTTTCTGGCTGAGCATTGAAAGCAGTAAGTGCATGCTGAGCCAGTGACTCCCATCCATGGGCACACGCAGCAGCTTCCCAGCACTGGCCAAGCAAAACAGAGACAGGAAAACCAAAACCCCCGCAGACACTAAGGAGCTGTATTCACTTATGTGAGCCATGTTCCTAGAAATCCAAAGTGTACTCAACAGCACTGACCTAACAGATTTTAAGTAGACCAACAGCCAGCCCCTTGCCAAATTCCTACATTCCCCCTTAATGATCCAGCTTTTCCAGCAAAAACCAGTCACCAGTAACCATTCAAGGCACTGATGAATCATTTAGGGAACCTGATAACTGAACCTGGGTTGGGCAGAACTGGGCTTTGTCTGGGGAAATGGGTCCTTTCAGATTGATTCCCTGTGCTGGTTGATGTGAGACTGATAATAAAATCAGACTTGGAGAAAGAAGAAATCCCAATTCTTTGAATAGTGCTGGCACTTGGAAGTAACTCGGCTTGCTGAAAGCAGCTATTAAGATGCTTTCTGCTTTCCTTCTTTTCACAGGATCATTAGGATTGGAAGTCACCTCTGGAGATCATCTAGTTGAAGCCCTTGCCAAGGTACACATCCAGGCAGGATTTGGATGTATTCAGAGACAACTGTTCTGAAATGCTTGTGAGTTTATGTTTCACATTATAAGACATTGGCACTATACAGCATGTTATCTCTGCAAATCCTAAAGGAGACACTCTCTGATTTACATACAGCTCAGCAGTGGGGCCAGGTAAAACACCAGGCAGCACTTTATAGCAGTAAAGTAACACTGCAGCAGAGGCTTGCATCAGCAAAGGAAAGCCACCAAATCCATGTTGTCATCCATTACATTGCTTTGTTCTCATCCTGACTCATCTCTGGATCACTTATTGTTTTCTTCCAGGAGCAATAGGAAGGAAAAGCCACTCTGTTCCCCTTGTACCTCATTAAATACAGGAAAGACTGCACAGAAGTAGCCAGGAACAGCCGTCTTGTTCCAGGCCAGGAACTGATTTTAAATGGCAAGAGGTGCTGATACTACTTCAGATGAGAAGCTAAAAGTAAGATCCCATGTCTGAGTAGTTAACAAGTACTTTTATAAACTTGTTGAGCCACAGGATTTCCTTCTGCCCTGTGATCCTACTGTGTGATTCAGAGGCACAGTCAGAAGACAAGAAGAAACCAGGACTGAAGAACCAATACTTGCAATAATTACTATTCCTGGACAAGTACTGCTCCTGAGCAAGATGAGAGTGAGAGTAAGTTTTGTCTTTAGAGGAGAGGCTGATTTGAAGCTGGAGCTGCTACATGCCCTTGTCTGAAGGCACGATTCTACCTTCCCAGAGCTTCTGCCTGGGTTTGTCCCTGAGGAGCCATTAAGCAGCTCTGATGGAGAGAACAGATAGAAAAAATCACTGCCCTGATGAAAGTGACCACGTGGGGTTGATGGCAAGATGTGCCAGGCTTGTGAAATGCAAATCTGTTCTTTGTTCACTCCTCTTCACAAAGGCCTGTGAATTTGGGGGAAGAGTAAGGGTTGTATTAGGCAGGAGGAATCCATTCCCCAAGACTCAGGGAAGGCTGGCAAGTGAAAGGAGTCCCAGGGAAGAAAAGAGGAGAGACTGTCTATTTTTAAGTAACAATCACAAAGGAGAAAACTTTATCCTTTCTAGGAAACAATGTGATTTATTGCTGAAACTGCTGGGTGACACTAACTTCAGAGTCCTCCTTTGCTGAGGAGAGCTGTCTCCTCCTGCATCTCCTTTCCCACTTAATCTCTGGCTTCACACGAGGCTGTTTTACTTAGAGCACAAGCAAGAATAGGCATCACATGCAGCAAGAGCCTAACACACACGATGAGCACCACCAAGCTAACATACATCACATGTGTACCTTTAAATACCTAAGCAACCACCCAGCAACATTTCCCTATCCAAACTGGGCATCTCCTAAAAATGCAGTTGAGAATTCAGCTGTCTAGGTTTTGTGACGGAATCTGTTATAACAACCTTCACTGCAACATATTAGCCTTTGACTTCAGCTAATGTACCTGACTTCAGCTGGAATTAAACACAACATAGCACGTGATTCCCTTGCTGAACAAAATCTCCATGTTGAGCAGACCTAAGGAAAGGAGGTGGAATCCCATTCTGCTCTTCTGGTCTGTTTTTCATGTAGATTTGCTATAAAGAAAGCGTTGCTCTAAATTATGTCTTTAGGTAAGAAACATTCTTATCAAACACATCATTAACCCTCACTCAGACCGTGCAGGTGAGTGACTGCCACATTTTTTCCCTTGTTACCAGCCAGTTACTGACCCGAGATAATGGTTTCTTCTGGCCACAGTTTATGCCTCCAATGAAAATCATATTGGGCATTATAGGCATAGGATAGTCGAAGACAAAGTCAATTCTTTTCAGCCAAATGGACCCATGACTTAAAAGCTGCGTAACTGTCATTGGCTTTTGTAGGAAGTCTGAGGCCAGGGTTTCGAATCCTGAGAATACCATACTGCAGGTGAAAGTCTCTGAAAGGGTTATCAGGAAGTTCTTCACTCTCTCAGAGAACGTCATGTGGTCTGTATTGACTGAGAATATGCGTGGGACATAGGATGGTGGGTCCGGCGCCTGAGCAGCGTGAATGTCTATAGCACATGGGATGCCCCGCAAGAAGAAAACACTAGGGATAGAAAATTTCAAGGCAATTATCTGTCCACAGGGTGTCAGAGGATCTGTAAAGACGACATCAAATTTACTTTCTTCAATATATTTCATCATCTCTTTGTTGTACAGTAAGGAACTGCAGGAAGCTTGAAACATGTCAGAGCTCTGTTTGAAGTTATTCCAAGTATTCATAAACCTGGTGAGGAAAGAGTTGTCACTAAAAACGTTTGCACTAAGAGAGTGCAGAAGTTCTTGCATCTCTTCCGTTTTGAAAGGTACAGGATAACTTTTCATTTCATATATCCCTGAGGAATCAATCAGCATTTTGCTCTCTGGTGCAATAACAACTATTTCATGCCCTTTCTTGTTCAGCTCAGCCAGCACTTCCTTCATACTGAGCCAGTGGCTGCCCTCCATAGGGATTACCAGCACCTTCCCAGCAGCGGCAGGACTCAGGCAGCACAAGAAGACGAGCAGCACTGCCACCAGCATGTTGCAGGTTGAATGGATAGGAACTCGCACATTAGAGAGCCCAGCGGGGCTTTGCAAGCTTTTGTAGCTGTGCTCCACCCTTGCAAACACCCCACCTGGCACTCTTATCATAACTCTGCCCTTTCAACTTGCCTCTGCATTTCAGGTGCTCGCAAGTTCACATGCAATGAAACCAATGATTGGTGAGTAATGATTGTAAAAGATGAGGTGATGTTTGCACTTCAAAATGCACAAGCACAAGAAAGATGTGTCCCTTATTGTACGCTTGGCTCAGGCAAGCTGAAACAACAGCTCTATTCCTCAGCCTTCTCAAAGTGCCTTATGACACTTCTTACCTTTAGCAACCCAGCAACTTTTGCTGACATGTACTGACAACATGCTCTCAGGTGCATGGGGATCCATGAAAGAAATGCATACAGAGTGGATGCCCAGAAACCCTGCTGACCCCATATGGTAGTAGTGGGTGTACAAAAAGCACACTAAAATGACTCTTTTCCCTCTAGTAGTCAAGTTTTTCCGTCTCTTCTGTTCTGAAAGGAAGAGATGGCTGACACTGAAGGCTGAAGCTTAACAGAGTTGTCACCAAGTGTAGTAATTTGGTATTTTTTAAGTATTTTATTTTCTAATGAAGATTTTACAGTGAAACATAACTTGCAGGAAAGAGATAAATATGAGAAAGCAATGTTAAGGTACCTTAGTTCTATGTTTTCCGTTTTTCTTTTCAATAACCCAAACCAGTTGGTACAACTGAAGAAAATGACTTCTCTTTTTCATTGATGCAAACATGTATTGTTTGGATGCAAGTAGCCAACAGAACATCTTCCCCCATCTGTATGTATCCCTCCCACCTAACTTCTTATCCTATTGGATATAAAACTAAGTTGCAAAACAACAGTTCACCATTGTACCTCAGATAACACGGACTCACAACATGTTTCTAGTTCATGAACTCACGAGTTCATGGCCAGTGTTGGTTCAGTTCATGATTGAGACAGTTCATGAGCTCTGTGGGTCCAGGTCCTTCTCCAGTTTTAAATTGCTGGGGTTTTATATTGGTGATAACTCTCACCGTAAAAATTTATGAGTTTTATATCCAGTTATAAGTTTTATCCAGGTGCCTTTGGGATACAATTTGAGTCTCCAGGACATTCAGGGCTCTACATCACTAGTGCAGCTTTCTTTCACATGCAGTTTCTGCAAGTTTATTTTCAAGTCTGGTTGGAAAGTTTTGACCTTACTGAGAACCTGCCCCCCAAAAAGAGCAGCCAGATCCATCCCCTGCACTGTCACTACATCAATCATTTACAACATAGATTTAACCTAATGGAAGTTTTCAAACAGCTCAGGAGAAGGTGATGCACAGAAACAGACCTCTTGCTCATAACCTCTGAAAAAGCTCTCAAATGAACACTAAAAGAAGATGCTTTCAAGCTAGATTAACAGATTAAGATAGACAGTCATGCATGTTTCATGTAGGGCACTTACAGACATCTGCGTGGGTCTTTAATATCTGATCAGCAGCCATAGAGTCACAGAATCACAGTATGGTTTGTGGTGGAAGGGACCTTAAAGCTTATCCAGTTCCAACCCCCTAGCACAGGCAGGGACACCTTCCACTAGAGCAGGTTGCTCCAAGCCCTATCCAACCTGGCCTTGCATACTTGCCCACTCCTAACTCCATATCCTTTTGAAAGACACCTTGTGAGCAACTGCTACTCCTTGTCCTTCATTTGAACACCTAGGGTGAACTAAGTAGCACCAGAGACTGTCCTGGTAAGAGGATTGGCTCTGACACTTCAGACAGCACTAAACATACCTATCCGGACAAAAGGGGAAGGTGTTAGGGCTTTCTTCCACACTACTCTCTTTTAGGGATACTCACAATTTCCAATACTTGAATATCCCTTTCCTGCTTTTCAGCTGCTATAGGATATGCTGTATTTGATTCGGAGACCTGCTTCGTACTCAAAAACCCAATGGGAATTTACAGAAGACATCCATACCCAGGAATGCTTACAACTTAACCAATAAAAGTATGGAAGGATACAATTTGGGGATTAGATACTGACCCCTTGACGTAGGTGTAAATGAATCAATCTGGGTGACAGAAAAAGAACTAGCTACAAGATGAAAAGCTAAAATCTTAAATCCTATAATCCTCGACGTGGGTGAAAGGAGAATGACTATATGGAAGTATGAATGGACAGCTCATGAGAGAGCTGGGAAAGGAGGACACCATGTGGCAGACAGCGAGCAGACTGTGCTTACAGGTGTTCCTCAGGCTACTCTTTCAGAGCAATATAGCTGCGTCTTCTGAGACTGGCTTTGGATGCAAGTACAGCTCTTTCAGGCATGGATATGGGATAAGAAACTGAGATGAAATGGAAGCTAACAAATCTGGCTTCTGTTGGGGAGGAAAATTCCCATCTCACCACAATTGGTGTGAGCTTCAGTTCAACAAGAGAGCTTATTATTTGCATTAAAGTTACATGTCACTTAAATTCTCACATCTGCTAAGGCTTAGGTTTGCCAGGATATGATATCATTTGAATGCTGGATACTAGGAAATAACCTTTCTGCATTATGTAGGATTTCTCATTAGCTTTCTACCTTTAAATACCAAGAGGTTGCCGGTTAGGTTTTGATGTAAGGATGCTTAAACACTTCTGTTCTTGCCTTTTAAATAGAAACAAGATAAAGTTTAATACCTGAGAGAGATTTTTCTTCTGATCACAGTTTATCCCTCCAATAAAAACCATGTTGGGCATCACTGGTCTTGGGAACTCAAACACAAAGTCGTATCTCATCAGCCAAACAGATCCACGGCTTAGAAGGTCTGCAGTTGACACTTTGATCTGGAAAACCTCAGCTGCAAGTTCTTCAAACTGAGCAAAGAAAGGCTTGCAGTAAAAGAACTCCAGCATACGGACCAGCACGTTCTTTACCCGTTGAGTAAATGTCATGTTATCTGAATTATTGAGGAATAATCTGGGGACGTAGGAAAGAGGGCTTGGACACTGGGTGGCATCAGAATCCATACCACAAGGAAATCCACGCAGAAAGTAGACAGAAGGAATTGAAAGGTGCTCAGCAATTAAGGGTCCACACATCTGAGTTGGATCCGTCAAAACTACCTCAAATTTGCTCTCTCTCAGATACTGCATCATGTCTTTGTTGAGCAAGAGGCTCTTACAGTTGCTGAAAAAATACCTGGATATTTCTAAGATGCTTTGGTACATTGTAATAATCATATTCAAAAAAGATTGTTCAATAAAATGGGCATCAACGAAAGATTTGAACGCCATAGCTAAATGGTCCTCTGTGTAAGGCATTGGATATAATTTCACTGTGTAATTCTGAGGCTCCTTTGGTTTCAGATGCAAACTTGTTGATGGAACAACCACAACAACTTCATGTCCATTTTGGTGGAGTTTTGCCACTACTGGGCGCATGCTGAGCCAGTGACTTCCATCCTGAGGTATCACCAGTATCTTTCCACCTTCAGCAAAGGTTAAAGATGATATCAGAAGAAGAAATATCCCACTATGCTGATAGAAACACTGGAATGGGAGAGCCATTTTGGTGGAAGGAAACTGTAGAGCTCTGCTCTAGAGGTATCCAACACTGTCTTTTATATGAAGATCCTTGCAAGGGAATTTATTGATGGTAGGGATAAATATTTAACTTCCTAACATTGCTGTGGTAAGCCTTCAGTGATGCAACTGCTCATATATCAGGGAAGGTGAGCACACTGTTCTCAGTAAAAGACACCCTCCTTTGTATTCTGTTAATTTTTAAGCTTGGAAGTATGGCAGCACGTTGCCTCCTTCATGAAACTAGGATGAGGAATGTCGTCTTGTAGGAAGAGTTGTGGTTAATACCATTGACTTGGTAAGGACTCAGTGAGCAAATAAGCCTGGTTTTGATTTCAAAAAGCAACCTTTAGAATATACACAGTAGAATAAATGGAAATTGCAACACCATTTCTTTTATGGCCTAGCCTAACTGAGAATACCTAACCACTATGTAGAAGGCTGATATATTCCCACCCCCTGGAAGCAGTCAAACCTGCATGTCTTACTAATGTATCACAGCTACCAAAGTAGGCTTACAGGTGTTTACTGTTCATTATGCAGGAGCAGAAGGCACCTGAACCACTTCTAGTTTTGAAGAATGTTGTGTGTGCAGATGAGCAGCAGAGCAGTTTATGACACGAGGTCTCGGAGAGTGAGAGCTTTGTGCCACCTTGGAGGAAAGGCTTCCTCTCTGGACGCTGAAGGACATAAACAAGGTTGAAGCTTGAGTGACCCAAGACTGCAGATTCATTTTGTTGTTAAAAGTATCCCTTGTGATAAAGCTTGTGTGGGTTATTCCAGGTGTCTGTTTGAGATGGCAAGGAGTGTTGCAGCTATGCATCAGCTCTCCACTGTCATGCAAGCACCTCTGAGGAGTTGAGACTATAAGCCATAAGCATGATGAAGAGTTTGGGTGCAGGTGTGCTTACTCTTCCCCCTGTGATTGCTCCAGCTGGAAGAGTCTCTCAAATGGCTTATCTCTGAGTTGGACTTGGTGGGCAAGTGTGGATTTCTTTTAACCTGAGCAGCACAGTGGGTGGCACTAAAGTAAGAGGGATGTTCTATGAGCAAACTGTTTGTTGAGGCAGCCTGTAAGGGTTAATGTCATGTACTGGATTTGTTCTTTTGTAGTTAGATTAGATTGCTCACCCCCTTATGCTCTGGCTCGTGCAAGGAGGAACAAGTAGAATCGTAGAATCATAGAATACTTAGGGTTGGAAAGGACTTTAAGACCATCTAGTTCCAATTGGCTTGCCATGGACAGGGGCACCTCACATTAAACCATGTCACCCAAAGTAGCTCAAATGCAAGAGCACATGGATGATGTGATTTGATTGCCCAGGTTTCTAGATGATGAATTGGGCTTTGAGGACTCCTTGTGTAAATTGAACGCAGTCCTTTTTTGTGATGCTACCCAATGTCACTCAAATGCAGGCTGGTGAACCTGCCTATTTTACATAGCTATGGAGATACACTGACATTTGCTGGCACAGGATAAGGTAGTATGTATATGTTGTTTGACTAGCAGGACTTCAGAGGAAAAACAACCCATAAGAGCAATGAACTGCAAGCTGGAAAGTAAGTCTTTGCAGTAGGCAGCTAAGCAAATCACAGAAGACAGATCCTAATTCCAGGGCAGCTGCTTCCTAAGCCATAAATAGAAGTCATATGAAAATGACAGTATGAGAGCCTGAAATGAAAGACTGCATCCTAACAGAAAGTGATATTTAAGGCTGCCCAGGTAACTGTAATTGGAATATTTCCCAACCTTTGCAAGGCACCGTGTTTGACATCTGTAGATATAATACTCTCATTTCTGTGCATAGACTTCTGTCCCGTATTGTGCGTTTAGACTCCCCTTAGAGAAGGCATTTTCATTTAAACAGAAGACAAACTTCCTACAGGAAGGGAAAGCAAGGCAGTAGTTTCATTTGATACAGAGACTTTTTGGCAAAAGAACCGTGTTTTACAGCTTTCTTTAGTTTCTCCCCTTGAAAATGTGTTTGGCACAGGGATGTGGACAAGAGGCAAGTGAAGAGGACAGTGAGATGAAGTGTTTGGTTAGAGCAGCTGTTTCAGGTTGATCCATCCTGTGCACTGAAGATGTACAATGTATGAGGGTTAAACTCATTTTCAAAAGTTGGGCTGGTTTTACTTGTCTGATGGTGTGTATTTGGCCATTGCAATATAAGACAGATGAGCAGCATTGTCAACTTTAAACGTGCTCAACATCCTTTACAGAAGCGTCACAAATGGAAGATGATGTGATTGATATCAGGCTGCTCTGAACTGCCTCTACATTCATCAAAATCTTGAATATTGCCCCCCCCGCCCCCAACTGACCCTCGTATTTGGTTCATGAGCAGAGCGATGTTCTGGCTGCAGAACATGACCTCTTTTTTTAATCCAAACCAGAGGGTTTTATTCAATGACGCCTCTCCTTTACTTGAGTAACTATGTATTTAAATCCAGGGTTATTTTAAGGTTTACAGTTTACCAGTTGTTTAAATAAGTAATGGTTGTTTTATGTTAAAGAAATCAGCCAAAGAAGCCAGGAGCAAATTTGAAATGTTGCTATAGGTGACATTTCCAAACTTTGTTTTGATCAAATCACATGAACTTTGTTTTATGAGCTGTAAAAAAGCAACTTTGAATTCACTTTGGATAAGGATGAGATATTCATCAAGGTGTCTCAGGGCTCATAGTCCAAGTTCATTTGCAATGTCCACATAAGGAGGGACTGCTTTCTGTGCCAGCCTTCAGGTACTTCTGGAGTCATTAGAGGATGACACTGGCACAGGACCTCTGCTCAGGCCAGATATTCTGTCTGATATCCTCCGTGCCCTGTATGAAGCCTCCAGCCACACTTGGCAACTGGATTTCTGTGTCTGTTAATGAATATGTAATTGCTGCTGTGCAAAGTGCAGGACACGAGGAAATCCAGCCTGATCCCGCTGGTGTGGTTACCTCAGTCAGTGAGCTCCCGCTGGCTCATGTGGTGGCATGTTCTCCCACTCCCTGTGAGACTGCAGGCTATGGACCATACTTACGACTCAGGAGGGTCAGACACCTTGGGATTGAATTCCCAGCTCTATGCTGGATAAAACACATACACTCAGTTCTGCAAAAGCATAAGCTCCTCAGCACCCTGCTGCCTTCAGCTCCACATAGGTATTCCATGTCAGATGTAGCATAAAGGAGCCCTCCTTCTGCTGTATCTAACAGGGAATAAGCTCCTTATCTGAAAAAGGACACCTCATTTTGAACCTTCAGTTCTCTCCCCCTTTCCCAGCCATGCTGTCTTTTTGGGGGGGGAGGGGGGTTGTCAGTTGAGCAATGGGCTACTAGGTTTTGAAGAACTATCTCCTGTTTTCATAGGATTAGATTTCTGAACAGTAAGGACCAACCCAAGGCTTGCCACTGTGTAGGAAGAAGTTGGTTTTGTTCTCCCATATGACTGACTTCACATTTGTTTACACTGTGTTACTGCCTTGTTGCTGGGCACTGCTCCAAGTGAAATAGGAGGAATTTCTCTACTGTCTGTAGAAAATATAGCTAGGAAAGGGCAGGGTGAAGATAAGGGGAATACACAAGGTTTGTCCAGGTTTGGAAAGTGTGATTTCCACCAAATGGCATGTGTTAGTATGAAATGCCAGCTGTACAATAACGACAGGAATGCTCTGCCCATGTAGCAAGCTTACAAACTGTTTGCAGCTCAGAGACCTTCAAGACATAGAGATTTCTGTCATGCAACCAGCAAGAATTTGCCTCTTAGATCACAAAGTGCCACTTTTGAGCCTAAGGTGAGAGAATGCCTTCTAATATTGCTCTAATATTCCAATTTATAATATTATTCTTCACTTGACTTGCTCTTTATTGATTGCAGTGGGCTCTGCACAGGTCTGTTGAAGAGTATAAAAGAAATCTGATAGTAGAAAAAGCCCTGGAGCTCAAATATGCTGTACCGCAACTGTGCAATGATAGTGTGTGACGCCTGTTCAGAAGGGAGTATGTTCTGCTTTGTGCCTAGGAAGAAATGTCTAGTGCTACAAATTGGTTGAGAGACTATAAAGTAAGTATTAAAAGAGATTTTGTCAAAAGAGATTTAAATTTCTCTATTATGTTTAAATCCTGCAGAACAATTCTGATAAAAGCAAAAGTCAAGGAATAGGTATGAAAACTTCTTTGAGTTTTGCGTGCAAGTGTCTTTCACCTTTTCACTATTTGAGATTAATTTTTCCCATTTCAACATGGCATTTATGTTACAGTGTGATCTACAAACAGACATAACACAGTTAGTTTGGAAACCATATGTCATAAAACCACAACCAAAGCAAATTAACTGACTTTGCTGAGCCTGGAATGAAAACCAAAAGCCAATTCTCAGAGCATGGTCTTTCGGTTTACGGTCAGGTGAAAGAAATAGATGTCAGACTCTATGAAAATGAAATCAAAACCTGGTTAATGAATAATATACGGAAGATGAATGGTAGATGAAGCCCGTGTTTTGTTGGACTTGTCAGAAAATCCCTACTAATTCACAGAAGTTATCTGCCTCTATCAAGGTAATTTGATTTCAGCCTGTGGAAATTAATGGCAAAATCCTGGTTGTTTGAACTCATTATAAATAAATTAATACTGTGAAAGAAAATAAAATACATCAAACCCCCTGAAGTTCCTGAAATGACATCATCACATTTCATTGCAAATGTATGATTGGGAGTTATACAACCCATACCTTAGGCAGTGGTTTCCTCTGAGCGCAGTTTATACCTCCAATAAAGACCATATTGGGCATCACGGGTCTGACGTACTCAAACACAAAGTCAAATCTCAGAAGCCAAATGGAAGCAGAGTCCACGAAGTCTATGAGGGATACATCTCTCTGAAGAACTTCAGAAGCAAACTTTAGTGCTGTTTCATAGAAACCGTTACAGTACGCAGGCTCCAGGAGGTAAATCAGTGCATTTTCCACTCTCTGGAAGAAAGTCATTTGGTCAGAGTTGAAGGTAAATAGCCTGGGTACGTAGGACAGAGGACTTGGGCACCGCGGAGCATCATAGTGTAAGTTGCAAGGAAATCCTCTCATGAAGAACACGTATGGAAGAGAAAAATAATGAGCGAGCAGTGGCCCGCACATAAAGATGGGGTCTGTTAGGAGAGCATCAAATCTGCTTTGATTCACGTACTGAAGGAGCTCCTTGTTGCTGAATAGGTTCTTGCATTGAGTAAACAGTAGTTGGAAAACTTGTACTGAGCTGTTGTATAGTGCTAGGGTGTTCAGTGGGAAAGGCAGGTCCTTCAGGTGGGTGGCAACATACTCAGAAAAGCCATTATCCAAGTCTTCTAGTGTGTAAGACACTGGGAATGCTTTCACTGTGTAGGCCTGTGCCTCTCTCATCTGCCAGCTTACTTCTGGTATAAGCACCACCACTTCATGTCCTCTCTCGCTGAGCTTTTCAACCAGTGGCTGCATGCTAAGCCAGTGACTTCCATCCATGGGCAATACTAGGAGTTTCCCTGCATCTGAGAGGCCAGGGAGGAGGAGGATGAAAATCCAGGCAGAGCAAAGCCTCAAAGTCATGTTCCTGTGGTCAGAATAAGGACTGGGAAAGTCTTCTCCTTCAGGCTGTAGCTTGAAGACGCTTTTGAAGGAAGCCAATGGGTTTATATGCTGAGTCGGGCTGCTTTGTCATTGTCTACTAGTTAATGATTTATTGCTTTGGATTATGGGCTCTTTGGGTTGTTTTCCTTTCTCATTACTTGTGAAAGCCAAGTGCAGTGACCCTTTAATATGCTGAGTCATTGAAGCTTTTATGTTCAAGGGAGAGCTATCTCCTCAGCACGCTAGTAAGATTTCCTACAGCTCTCTTTATCATTGATGCAACCTGTCTTACACCTTGGCCAAGACTAAGGGAGGCAGGTTGGGTCCAAACAGCTCCACCACCACAGTAACAAATGTAAACAGCCTCAAGGAATTTCCTACATCAAGCAAGTCTGAGCTAGCAGGAAGCTCGAGAATCTACAATGACACAAAGAAGGGACAATGAATGAGGACTCAGAGCATGAATTCAGCTGTTACACAGCCTATGAGATGACTCGCAGGCAGCTGAAATCTCCTCACCAATTACCAATACATCAAGTAGAGGCGAGACATAAGACATGAACTAACTGTGTCTTAAGGACTACTACTCCAAGTATGGCTAGGACTGTTCAGTAGAGACTTGGGAGTGAGCCCAGCTCTCGGATCTGACTTAGCCGAGGAGCAGCTTCAGCGCAAGTGTGGGTTTATGAGAGCCATCAGCTTCTCAGTAGAGAAACTACTGGAAAAGTATCAGAGAGCAGATTTCTGTCAGGATAGCTTTCCAGAAAATCAAATGTATGAGCTTCAGAGTAGGGGGAGAAGCTCTGAGGTAAAAAAGAAACAAATGCCCTCAGAATCTTTGATGCTATTATAAACTGTAAGGAAAAAAATGACAAATAGCTAAATCATGTTCTTTTCAGGTTTATAGAAAATGCATTTTCAAATGAACATTGGGAAAATGAGCAGTTAGCAACCAACCTTTCCCACAGAAAAGTTAATCTATATATTTTGTAATGGCCACCTCCCATTTGGTGCAAAGGGGTAAGCAGAGAGCTGGCAGGGACACGTCCTGCCCTCCCCTCCCTTCTCCGGCAGGATACCTTTGCCATCCAAACCTTGCATTGCATTTACAATAGCGAGTGCAAAGGCAAGCCCAGGTTGGGTGAAGTTAATCAGTACCTTAGAGGTGTTTCTGAGTGTTTGAAGGATTGCCAGCGGCTCCCTGAGTTGGCTTGGTTATCTGGCAAGGGCTTCTTGAGGAGTTAGACTTTGCTGGTTTCAAGGGAGTGCGAGATAACAGTTGCAGGTAACCAGTGCAAGAGGACAGAAGGAACTCTGAAGTTGGATAGGAAGCCTCGGAGGTGGGTGATGCCAAGGGACAAATGAGTAGCCCCAGTGGAGTGGGGCTGTGGTGGAAGGCTTCAGTGGGATTGAGGGGTGCTGTGTCAGCACAACTACTTCCTGTGACCGTGTGGCACTGCTGCCATGATTATGTATTCATAGTCTCATAGAAGGGTCTGGGTTGGAAGGAACATTAAAGATCATCCAGTTCCAGTCCCCTCGTTGTGTTGGGTGAGGAGAAGCTCCCCATGACCTGGTTTGAGTGTGTGCTTTGGCCCACAACCCCCCCCCCCCCGTGCTGGGCTGCAATCCCAGGGTATGAGCAGGAGGTCAGAGAGGGGATCCTGCCCCTCTGCTGTATGAAGGGGAGACCCCCCGCCTGCAGCTCTGATCCAGCTCTGGGGCAACAGCACAAGAGGGTCGTGGAACTGTTGGAGCGAGGCCAGAGGAGGCCATGGAGATGCTGTGAGGGCTGGAGCAGCTCTGATCTGGAGCCAGGCTGAGAGAGCTGGACTGGGTCAGCCTGGAGAAGGCTCCTTCAGCGGAGACCTTAGAGCAGCTGCAGTGCCTAAAGGGGCTGCAGGAAACCTGGAGAGGGGCTTTGGACAAGGGCCTGTAGGGACAGGACAAGGGGAATGGCTTTAACCTGCCAGAACAGGGGAGACTGAGATGAGCTCTTAGGCAGAAGCTCTTCCCTGTGAGGGTGCTGAGGCGCTGGCACAGGGTGCCCAAGAAACCCTGAAAAGTGAACAGAAAGTACCGGGGAGCTCATGTGCAGCCAAGGAAAAGTTTCACCTTCATCTCAGGGAGAAGGAGAAGACTAGTTCACATCTGTGGTGTTGTAAAGGCCCCGGTCTTTATCTAAAATCACACACCACCAAGTGTCACTTACTCCTTGTAGAACAAGAGTGCAAATGCTCCGTCCTCTGCAGCCCTCAGCTGCATGGCGGCTCTGCTGCCACAGCCCTCACTGCCATGGGAGGTGCCCTCTCCACAGCCCAGGGTCCCACACATCACGTGGCAATAGGCAGTGCTTGAGGGGGAAGGTGGTGCAGAGGAGCCCTGACCTTTCTGGAACATTTTACCCCCTCACTTTCCTCAGGGACCTGCAGGCACAGCCTGAGGGGCCCAGGGCACACAGGGCAGGGACAGGCAGGGCCTGTGCCTAAGGTGCGGCAGAATGCCACCAGGGACTGAGTCTCACAGAGGGGCCCTTCTCCCCACAGCATCCTCCTGCTCCTGCTCCTACATTAGGGCATCTGTCAGGCCACACAGAACCCCTCCGCACTGCAGGCCTCTCTGTCTGTCACCATGACAGTGGGCTGGGGTTGTTACAAAGCACCTTCTGCCCTCTGCCCTATGAATACAAGGACCCGGCAGACATCAGGCCCAGCAACGTTGGCAACAAGTGGCCTGATGCCAGCGACGCAGGGAGCTGCCCTGTGATGTCTCACGGGGCAGTGTTTTTGGTGCCCAAGCCAGCCATGAAGAGGAAGAGGTTGGATATGGGAGGCAGCACCAACAGTGGCTCTGACGGTGCAGAGCCAACAGAAGTAGACCAGCCTGAAGAGCTGGAGGAGCCCATGGAGATGGATCCACCTACGGATCACTAAGAGCCCATGGAAGTCAATTCATGCACCATCAAGAGGAAAAGAGCACATGGAGCCGCATCCACCGGCAGCCAGAGAAGGACCCATGGAGGTGGATACACCCAATGGCCACAAAGAACCCATGGAGCTGGATCCACCAGAAGCCTAAGAACACCATGGCCACCATGACAGTGGCCTGGGTTGTTACAAAGCACCTTCTGCCCTGTACTTTATGAATACAGGAACCCAGTAGACATCAGGCAGTTGATGATGTCCCAGGCCCAGCAACGACGAGCAGCAATAGGTCTGGTGCCAGTGAACAGGGAGCTCCCAACCTATGTCTCATGGGGCAGTGTTTTTGGTGCCCAAGCCAGGCATGAAGAGGAAGCTGTCGGAGATGGGAGGCAGTGCCAACAGTGGCTCTGACGGTGCAGAGCCAATGGAAGTAGACCAGCCTGAAGAGCTGGAGGAGCCCATGGAGGTGGATCCACCTAATGACCACAAAGAGTGCCTAAAGGGGCTGCAGGAAACCTGGAGAGGGGCTTTGGACAAGGGCCTGCAGGGACAGGACAAAGAGGAATATCTTTAAGGTCCCTTCTAACACAAACCACTCTGTAATTCTACGATTGATCTATATCCCTATCTTTGTTTTCCAGTAGGGCTGATGATGGTTGGGTAGGTTTTTGGTGTAGCTGGGTTGGTCCCATCTCTACCAGCCCCCTCATCGCACTGAAGCAGGAGCGGACCCGCTCCAACCCCTGGCCGCCGAGGCAGCGCAGGCCGCAGGGTCTCCATGGCAACCTGTTCCACTCCACCCCTTGCCGCTGCTGCGAGAAACTACAACTCCCAGCATGCCCCTCGGGGCGGCCCCGCTGCCGGCGGGGCTACACTACGACTCCCAGCAGGCTTTGCGCCCGGGGCCACGTTGCCGGACGCTCTTAGCTTCACATTGGTGCCTATGCCCGGTGGTTCTTTGGTGCCTGGTGCAGAAGGGACTCTCGGCCTGTGGAAGGGGAGCGGCGGCTCGATCCAGGTATGTGTATCCCCAGAGCCGTGCCCGTCCCGGAGTGCTTTGCGCGGCGCCACAACAAAGATGGTGGCGGCCGCGGCGGTGTGAGCGTGTCTGGTTCTAGTGCTGTCGCTGAGCGGTGAGTCCGTCCTGGCCACGGAGGGGGGACCGTGCCCGGGAGCTCCAGCGCTGCGGGCCATAGGCGCAGGCACTGGCCCTCGGCTTCTCGTTGGGGCCGGTGACACCGCTGGGCCCAGCTTCTAAGGGTGTTGGAGAGCATACGGGAGGTCGAGAGAGGAGGGGGAAGCCGGATGCGTTCAGCCTGCAGACAGGAAGGCGAGAGGGAGATCGTGCTTCCTGAAAGGAGGATGTGGTAAGGTGGGTCTGGATCTTCTCCCAGAGAACAAGGAATAGGACAAGAGGAAATGGGCTCAAGCTGCACCAGGGGAGGTTTAGTGGAGATGAGGAGCAATTCCTTCCCCAGAGGGTGCTCAGGCATTGGAACAGGCTGAACAGGGCAGGGCTGGAGTCACCGCCCCAGCAAGTGCTCACAGACTGTGTAATGAGGCCCTCAGTGCCATGGGTTTTTGGTGGCCTTGGCAGTGCTGGGGAATGGTTGGACTGGATGAGCTTAAAGGTCTTTTCCAACCTGGTTGAGTCTATGATTTACTGCTGTGAGGAGAGCATAGGTGCAGCCTGATTCTGGTAGGGCATGCACTGGGGTAAGATGAGAGGTGCCAGACCCAAGTTGCAACACAGAAGTTTCCCATCAGACGTAATGAATGTAAAGCAGGGACTTAGGGATCTCCTTACATTGAGTTATCCTAACTTTGGGAAGGGCAAGGCCCTATTAAACAATGTGGTGTAAGTTATCCTAGCTTTGTGGGCATGTTGAGCTAGAGACATCATCCAGAGTTTGGTTCTAATTTGTGTATTATTTTTAAGGGAAGGAAGCTGTTGGCAATGCTTTGAAGATCCAGGAATAAAGAGTGAGGGAGGATTTGGCACTGTCCTGCTGAAGTCCTTCTCTGGAGCGGTGGGTGGGTAGGTGGGTACAGTAGACTGTCAGTTCATTGCTGTCTCCTAGATACATGCCTCTTTATAGTGAACAAGCCTATTGGGAAGAAGCTGTTGTGCATTCCAGTGGGGAAAAATGGGAAGGGTTATAATCTTTGCTTAAATGACAACTTCCACTAGACCAGGTTACTCCAAGTCTCATCCTGGAAGTTAAGGAACTTCTTAATGTTCATTAAGAAGTGGCTCCAGCTGTGTTGTTATGTTTTGTGGGGCTTATAAGAGGACATCTACTGTAGGAAGTACTGAAGAAGTGTTCTAGAACAAGCTGAGTGAATCCTGCCATGCTTCTTCATAGTCAGCTGCTCTTGAGCATACCCTTTTGCCTAAAAACTTCTACTTGGGAAGGACTGAATGTGCTTAATGTAATGCTATCTTATACAAAGAGTTTTAGGGTGTCCTGTATTCATGTGTAACAGTCGTCCTCCTCCTTCTTAGTAGCTGGTGCAATGCTGTGTTTTTAGCTTCATCCTGAGAACAACGCTGATAGCACACCAATGTTTTTAGTTGTTGCTAAGTTTTGCTTACTCTGATCAAGGACTTTTCAGTCTCATGCAGTGAGGAGGGGCAGGGGAAGCCAGGAGGAAGCAGAGCCAGGACACCTGACCCAAACTAGCCAAAGGGGTGTTCCATACCACAGCACATCATGGCCAAGATAGAAACTGGGGGCAGTTACTGGGAAGGGCTGGATCGCTGCTCGGGTCAGAGGAGGTAGATAAGGATAATGGAAGATAGGGGCAAGTTCAGTTGTAGGAATGAAAATGTCTTGGGAAGAAATGTCTGAGTGGAATATGATAAAGGTCTGTAAAATTGCCCACAGAGTGAGGGTTAACAGGGGAATGACTATTCACTGCTTCAAGATAACTCACTGGTTACACACTGCTAATGCAAGAGCTACAATCACATAAAGTTATGGGGGGCTGAAGTACAAACCAAATGGAACCGGCTTTGGGAGTCCTGGTATGTGTTAAGAGTTTTCAAAACTTCCAGAAGTGACTGGAAAAACTTCCATAATAATTAGTGGCATTGAATTTCTGGCTCAACCATCTGAAAGCAAAGATAATGTTTTCATAGAAATTATAAAAAATACAGTGCTGTTTTTACACTTACCTTATGGCCAATAGTAGGGACAAATTACTTCTGTGCATAGATTTGTTGAGAGAGTGGTTGAGTGTGAACAATTTGAGAGGCTTTACGCACCTTTCCCACAGGGAACAGGGCAACTTGAACACTAGTTAATGCTGGATTGTTTAGAAGGACCTGTTTGTTTTGCTGTCTGTGATTTTACTGATCCAGATTGAAATGTGATCTATTTGCTTCTGGTTAAAAGGCTGTTCAGGCCTGTGCTACCATAGAATAGTTAGGGTTGGAAAGGACCTTAAGATCATCAAGTTCCAACCCCCCTGCCATGGGCAGGAACACCTCGCTCTAAACCATATTACCCAAGGCCTCATCTAACCTGGCCTTGAACACTTCCAGGGATGGAGCATTCACAGCCTCCTTGGGCAACCTATTCCAGTGCCTCACCAAATAAATGCTTTGAATTCACTCCTTTTTTGTTAAATTAGTGCATGCTTTTGTATGGATCTGACATTAATTTTTAGAATGACTAGAATGAGATGAAACAAATTCTTCAGTCAGGGCTGAGAGGTTCATCTTGGAGGATTAGAGATGGATGCATTCAATTGCCTTTTTTTAATAGTAAACACATTGTTTCATATTTTTAAAGGACTCTTTTACCTTCACAATGTTTGGGGATTTATTTGAAGAGGATTTTTCGTTTATTTCCAACAATCATTGTGGGAAAGGGAAGAAATCAAAGCCCAGAGATTCTGAGCCTCCAGCTCCCAGGGATTTCACCAACCTAAGTGGTATCAAAAACCAGGGTGGGACCTGCTACCTCAATTCCCTTCTGCAGACCCTGCTTTTCACACCTGAATTTCGAGGTAATGTGTCCAAACTGGTCTTAAAATAAGGTTGGAATTGATATTTTACAGTGGCTTGCATTTGTTAATGGTAAAGAAACACTGCAAACACAGAAAGGTTATTGCTGTCTGTAAAGTGGTGTTCCTTTTCTTAATGCAGCCCCTGATTCATGAGAAGATACTTTGCCATTGAACAACTTCATGCTTAATTCTGCTTGATTGTTGTAGCTTTAACCAGTTGCAAAGTTGAATGATGTCCAGAAATGTTGTTAAATGTTTCAGTTGCCAAAAATGCCTGGCATTTAAAACACAATAAATCTCTAAAGAGGGGATATTGTCTTCTTTTTAAATAGGCATTTTTCTTTTCAATTGCAGAAGCGCTCTTCTCTCTAGGACCTGAAGAACTTGGGACTCTGGATGATAGCAGTAAGCCAGATGCAAAGGTATTTAACTTTTTATTCTCATTAGCCACAGCTGAATGTTAATTCATAGAATCGCTGAGTGGTTTGGGTTGAAGGGAACTTAAAGATGGCCCAATTCCAGCCCCCTGCCGCAGGCAGGGACACCTTCCACTAGAGCAGGTTGCTCCAAGCCCCTGTGTCCAACCTGGCCTTGAACACTGCCAGGGATGGGGCAGCCACAGCTTCTCTGGGCACCCTGTGCCAGCGCCTCAGCACCCTCACAGGGAAGAGCTTCTGCCTAAGAGCTCATCTCAGTCTCCCCTGTTCTGACAGGTTAAAGCCATTCCCCTTGTCCTGTCCCTACAGGCTCTTGTCCAAAGCCCCTCTCCAGGTTTCCTGTAGCCCCTTTAGGCACTGGAGCTGCTCTAAGGTCTCCCCTTCAGGAGCCTTCTCTTCTCCAGACTGACCCAGCCCAGCCCTCTCAGCCTGGCTCCGTAGGAAATACTTGTCACCAGTTTAAATAAAAATCTAACTAAATAATATGTGCAGCCCAGATGCCTGCACTCAGCCTCTCTGAAGGTTTAACAGCTCACCTATGCGCAAGGTGGAACAGGACTGGAATTTAATCGCTGTTTCAAAAGTGCTTCCTAAAGCTGATTACAAAATTTCATTCCTTAATTCTCAGGTTAAAGTGATGCAACTGGTTGCTCGGAAAATGTATTTCTTTGCAAATCCAAGATAACTATAGGGAGCTGATCAATGTGACATTAGCTTGTGACGTGAACTGTTCTCCTTCCCATCTCATATGTTGTATGTGTCCCACCAAATCCGTTACTGACCAAGGAGTAGCATATATTAAATCTGTACGTCATGATGTTGTTGCAGCTCTGTTGTTGGGGTTTGCTATTATGGCAAATAGCAGAGAAAGTTGTCCTTTTTTTTTTTTCTATAGTGAATTAATCTTTGCAGATCTGCAAAACCCATCTTCCATGGCTGTATTTGGATGAGTGTGATGAAACACTAGATTTTTGGGAGCAAGCTCTGATGTTTTGTTCTGAATTGAGTAACCTGTGTTCTAAAAGCAATAGACAGTGATGGTTTATTACATGCTTTGTATGAAATGATTTTTCTCTTTATTGAAATAAAGGGTTTGAGGACCCTTTCTCATCTCTTGGCTATATTTTGGGTTTTGTTTCTAGGTTCGAATAATTCCATTACAACTTCAGCGGTTATTTGCTCAGCTTTTGCTCTTGGACCAGCAGGCCGCATCTACAACAGACCTTACAGAGAGCTTTGGCTGGAGCAGTCATGAGGTACAGTTACCGTCAGTGACACCAGCACTGAGAACTTCTCCTGAATGAAGATTTATTTTCTAAGTCTAATATTTAAGAAATATCTTAAAATACTTCAGGTTGTGGAGATAGCATTGAATTGTATATGTATGAACAGTATTGTATACTGTTGTTTACACATGGGTGGGAACTGGATTGAGAGCAGCCCTGAAGAGAAGGACTTGGGGGTGTTGGGTGAGGAGAAGCTCCCCGTGACCCGGCTTCAATGTGCGCTTGAGCCCAGAACTCCCCCGTGTGCTGGGCTGCACCCCCAGAGTGTGAGCAGCAGCTCAGGAAGGGGATCCTGCCCCTCTGCTGTGCTCTGGGGAGACCCCCCCCGCAGTCCTGATCCAGCTCTGGGGCAACGGCACAAGAAGGATGTGGAGCTGCTGGAGCGAGTCCAAGGGTGGCCACAGAGATGCTGCGAAGGCTGGAGCAGCTCTGCTCTGGAGCCTGGAGAAGAGAAGGCTCCTGAAGGGGAGACCTTAGAGCAGCTCCAGTGCATAAAGGGGCTGCAGGAAACCTGGAGAAGGGTTTGGGAAGGGCCTGTAGGGACAGGACAAGGGGAATGGGTTTAACCTGCCAGAACAGGGGAGATTGAGATGAGCTCTTAGGCAGAAGCTCTTCCCTGTGAGGGTGCTGAGGCGCTGGCACAGGGTTCCCAGAGAAGCTGTGGCTGCCCCATCCCTGGCAGTGTTCAAGGCCAGGTTGGACACAGGGGCTTGGAGCAATCTGCTGTAGTGGAAGATGTCCTTGCCTGTGGCAGGGGGTTGGAACTGAATGAGCTTTAAGGTCCCTTCTGACACAAACCATTCTATGAAGTACATACCAGTTTACAGCAAGCAACAGAAGAAATTTGGTGTTAGGTACGATTTCAGTAGCTTTTCCTTTGTGTTTTTACAGGTTATTATTCAACAATAATTAGGGGCCTAGTCCTCAAATACTTGATATTCTTACCTGAATTGAACTTTGTAACTCATCTTAGGGTTTAGTCTCAGTCCATTCAAGTGAAAGTGTCCTATGTGGGTTATAGTTTATGTTCTTGTAGTAACTCGAGCATATCTAAATTAAGAATAACAATAATAAAGGTAGCAATTTACTACTCAAGGAAGTAAATGCATTGGTAGTCATTGTCGCAGCTGTCTTTGTCACGCTTAACATACTTAAGCAATAAGGAAAGCAGATGACACTGTTGAAGTTGTTCTGGTTTCATCCTGCAGGAGATGAGGCAGCATGATGTGCAGGAATTGAATCGGATCCTCTTCAGTGCTTTGGAAACATCCCTTGTGGGGACTTCAGGTCATGACCTTATTAACCGACTGTACCATGGGATTGTTGTCAACCAGATTGTGTGTAAAGAATGCAAGAACATCAGTGAGAGACAGGTAAAGCCACACAGTGCTCCAGGAGAGGTTTGTGTTCAGTCGCTTGAAGATCCTGTCAAAAGTTCTTGGGGTTTTAAACTCCAAAAATCAGGACATCTTTCTTGAGTGTCACTGGTGGTCATGTTGAACCTGGGTACTGTGTGTTGGTTAGGGCACTGCACACTTGAACACAAGACTATTATGCATGACTTTAAGTCTTGGCTGGCACTTTCTAAACCACCTAAATGTGTGACTTAGAGGTGACAAAACAAGTGGTATTGCATCTTCTGAGTTTGCAAGGATTGCCTTTAGTCGATGTAGTTAGCAGAGAGCTGAACAGTGAGGTAACAACAGTAACATTTCTTTAGAGTCTTTTGTGCTTCCTGTAATTTAAAAAAGGTGTGTTTTACCTTCTTTTTCTCTTGTACTTCTGCATAGGAAGATTTCTTAGACCTAACTGTGGCAGTAAAAGGCGTTGCTGGCTTGGAAGAGGCCCTGTGGAATGCATATGTGGAAGAAGAGCACTTTGAGAATGAGAACTTGTATCGTTGTGGAGCCTGTGATAAACTTGTTGAAGCTTCCAAGGTAATGCACGGGTGATTCTCAATGTTCAGTTTGCTAACAGGAACTCTGTTTCCATTGCTGTGTCTGGCTTTGGGCATTGCTTTGATCATTTCAGAGCTAAAAGATCCACTAGAGCATAAAGAAAAGCTTAAAACAGATCCATATAATGAAAACCAGGGAAATTCTCCCATTTGGGTTCTTCATGAGAGAGGAAAATAATCAACAACTGTTGCTGTGCACAGAGAAATGGGATCTGTTGATCCATCTATTGCCATGTTCCCCTGACACTGAACAAGTTCTTCCACTGATAAAGTAACACTTTAGTAGGTATTTTCAGTATCTTCTGTAGTGCTATAGCCTTCATGTGGATAAGAATGTCTTCATGCAAGGAACCTTTCGGCTCTTCTAATGTGTAGGACGCTGTGTATGTTTTCACCATGTAAGCCTGTGCCTCTCTCATCTGCCAGCTTACTTCTGGTATAAGCACCACCACTTCATGTCCTCTCTCGCTGAGCTTTTCAACCAGTGGCTGCATGCTAAGCCAGTGACTTCTATCCATAGGCAATACCAGGAGTTTCCCTCCATCTGAGAGGCCAGGAAGGATGAGAATGAAAATCCAGGCAGAGCAAAGCCTCAAAGTCATGTTCCTGTGGTCAGAATAAGGACTGGGAAAGTCTTTTTCTTCAGGATGTAGCTTGAAGGAAGCTGATGGGCTTATATGCTGAGTGGTCTGCTTTGTAATTCACTGTCTTTCTGTTCTAGTGAATGATTTACTGCTTTCATCTGTCCTCAGCTGTGGGTGAGATCTGTTGGTTTTCGGTTGTGTTTTCCTCATTACTTGTAAAGCCAAATACAGTGACCACCCTTTCCTGTGCTGAATTATCAAAGTTTTGTGCTCAATGGAGAACTGTTGACCTTAAGTCTGTGATGTTCACTGAGAGGGGTCCCCAGGAGCTCAGGGGCATCCACGCTGGAATACTTGTCTCTGCCGAATTCCCTGCCTTCACCCTTGGGAACCCTGGGAAAGCTTCAGATGCTTGACACTTGCTGACATCGGTATTCTCCAGAAGAGTTGTATTTGTGACACTTCGTGCTTTGTGAAGTGGTAGCCTGGCTGCTAACACTGGTAACTGTCTGTATGCCAGTGCAGCCTGCAGCATCCTCGTGCTGACAGCTTGGCCTCTTTGTTGCTTTACAACAGTTTGGACTGGTTTCTGCAACAGCGTCATTAAATTAAAGACCTCTTATGTGACTTGTTGTCTGTCCCCTTAGCCAGGGCCAGGGAAGGGCAGCCTAGTGAAAGCTTTATGGGACTTGTAGGTCCTTGAATTGCATTTACCCAGAAAAAAGTGGTATTTGCTTTTCTTCTGTGTTAGTTTTTCATGTCATGTCTTTTTTTCCTATTAATCCCACTATTTTTTGTGAAGGGAAAGCAAGCATAGGCTGTTAGTGCACTCTGCCTTTGATATACTTTGCCCTCTTCACAACAAGAAAGCTCTTTGCCCTACTGCTGGGATTCTTCTGCAGCAGGATGAGTGCCATCCAAACCTTGCAGCCCTCTGGATGCAGGAGTGGGTGCAAAGGCAAGCCAAGGCCAGGCAAGTTAATCAGTGACTCATGGCTTGGTTGCAAGGGCTTGGTTGCATTAAACTTTGCTGGGTTCAAGGGAGCGCAGGGTAGTTGCTTACCTCTTACATGTGCTCATGCAGTGGGAACTCCGAACTCGGGTAGGAAGCCACATAGCTGGGGGATGCTGAGGTGTGGATGGACAAGGTCAATGGAGAGGAGCTGTGCTGAAAGGCTGGATCAAGGAGGAGGGATGTTGTGTCAGCATGAGTGGTGCCTGTGGCTCTGCTGGTGCAGTGTGTGTGATCATCGCAGGCTCTAGTGCTAAGAGAGTGCTCTGGCAGCAGGTGAGGTGCCAACTGGGTCATTCCAGACTCGTTGGCAGCATTAGGAAGCCCAGCAGTGTGCCCACCTGCCCACAGCTAGCCGGTTTCAAAGGCAAGATGGCCAATACCAATCCACTCCATTCATCCCTCCCTGCAGTACTCTGTGGGTCTTTGGATGTATTCTTCCCCCTTTTTTTGTCTTGGCCTCTAGAGATGAGTTTAAGAATCTCATGTTCCAGAATTGATCAAATATCCATGGTACAGTCTGATTTTTCAACCTAACTTGGGGAGAACTTGCAAAATCCTTTGTTGCCAGTAAGCTCTGCAATATAGTCTTCACAAGTGATGCAAATGGAATACCTAATTCAAGGGTTTTCTAATACATATGTGTATTCCTGGGAGGCTGTTATGTCTCTGCAAATGAAGAGTTGGTTGGAGACATTGGAAGGGCTCAGAAGTGTGTTCACTGAATCCACACTTGCATTCAGAGGTGATACAAGATGGTTGGTTTCATTTCACACCAGGGTTCCTTATGTGCTCATGCCTGAAGTTATTTGATCTTGGTTGATGTTTTTCCATATTAAAAGGGATTATGTTGGCTTTCCTGCCTTGAAGGTACTCTTCTGTATAAATGAACTCTTAACTCTTGCTTGGTTGCTCTGTGTCTGACTGTAGGGATGTTGTGGGTCCAGCTTGGCCCTGAGCACTGCCAGGGATGGGTCAGCCACAGCTTCTCTGGGCATCCTGTGCCAGCGCCTCAGCACCCTCACAGGGAAGAGCTTCTGCCTAAGAGCTCATTTGAGTCTTCCCTCTGGCAGGTTAAAACCATTCTCCTTGTCCTGTTCCTACAGGCCCTTGTCAAAAGCCCTTCACAGGGAAGAACTTATTTCTAAGATCTAATGTAAACCTCCTGCCAGTTGGTGGCAGGGGCTGGGAAGATGCTATTTACTCCAACTTCACAAACTCAGGTGTTTGGGGCAGTTGATTCTTAGGGAAGATCCAAGAAAATCCTCACACCAGAAACCTGTAGGTTATGGAAATGGAGTTATTGAATAGAATTTCAGCAACATCCTCCTTTATTTTCTGTAGCAGGATAAAGGATAGGAGTGGTGATGACTGAGGAAGTTGTAAGGCTTAACAGAGGGGAAAGATGTGCATTGCTTTTAGGATATGTAGTTGGGAGGGAAATTGGAATAGGGAATTGAGAAGACGTTTTAAAACTGAATACACTGACTTCTTGTAATGAAGCTTTGTTAAAGAATAGCTGGGCACAGCAAGGGGGAAACCCTCTTTTGTTCTAACTGCTGACAGTGTGTTTAAATTGCTTTCCAGTCTGCTAAACTGCGCAAGCTGCCACCCTTCCTCACCATCTCCCTCCTGAGATTTAACTTTGACTTTGAGAAGTGTGAGCGATACAAGGAGACGAGCTGCTACACGTTCCCCAGCCAGATAAACCTGAGGCCTTTCTGTGAGCAGGTTTGTACTGTTAAACATGTTGGAGTTTCTATGTATTCAGCTGGGAACTAATATCTCAAGGTCAAGTTCTGTTTTAATTGGCATTTTGTCAGGGAAAGGGTATTTGAGAAGCTTTGTGGGTTTCTCCTCTGTCCTTTATTCTAAATCTTTGGAATTCCAGTTTGTTTTCAAAAGGCCGTTTTCTGACTGAGTGGGAAGTACCTTGTAGTTATGTGAAGGGAAAGGGTGTAATCATTATTTAGAGCTTAACCTGACATTCCCTTGAAAGGAAGTTTATCACCTCGAAATGAAATCCAACTGGTTTTTGTATTGGTATTGCCTGATAACATTGTGGAGAAATTCAGCTATGTTTTAATACGGTTTATGTGCTTGGAGTTACCTGATTTTTCTGAAGGATCTGTCTTTGCATCATACCTCTGTATTTTGATTATAAATAGAGCTTGAAAATATATAAAGTATATACTTCATGAAGGCACTAGTATTGAAAAAGACATTTTCTTACTGAGATGTTGCAGTACAAGCTTGCAAACTTCTGTGTTTGCATTTGAGGAAGGTCTTTCCCCTCTATGTGCTTTGTGCATATAAATGTGTTGCTTGTTTTTCTCTAGTCTTTGCTGCAAAATAAGCCTGGTTTAGAACAAACAGGTTGAGGTATTCCCTTATTACAGCAATATGTCATTGTTTTAAACCTTGAATTTCCAATGTTGTTCAGAATCATGCTTAGAAGGTTGCTTAAGGAGCCTTTATCTTGGTCCGTGGTTTGTGTCAGTCCATACTTGTGTTCCTCAGTGCTGAAAAGCCATTTCAGTCTGCACATGCAAATGCACCTTCAGAAGTACCTGAAGTGATGCTGATGGTGTAAAAGAGGCCTTGTGTGAAAGACTTACTGATGTGTTATTGTTACTATTATTGTTTTTCTTTTTAAAGACTGAAATGGATGATTCAGAGTACATGTATGAGCTCTTCTCTGTTATTATACACAAAGGTGGCTGCTATGGAGGACACTATCATGTTTATGTCAGAGATGTGGATGACCTAGGAAACTGGCAGTTACAAGTAAGTCATAAAGGCTTTTTTTTACCTTGCTTGATAGGTCTCATTTTTCAGAAAAGCATTAAGAGGTAATGGATGAAGTGTACATCCAAATAATTAGTATTTGAGTGAGGCATTTGGTCTCTTCCCTCATGGAGAAGGCTCGTTTTGCACAGTATGCAATGTCTGTCAAGATTTTGTTGCAGACTGTAGCTTTCTGATTTGCTGAACTGTCTCACATAGAAATCATGGAATCACAAAGTGATTTGGGTTGGAAAGGAGCTTAAGATCATCCAGCTCCAACCCCCTGCCATGGGCAGGGACACCTTTCACTAGAGCAGGTTGCTCCAAGCCCCTGTGTCCAACCTGGCCTTGAACACTGCCAGGGATGGGGCAGCCACAGCTTCTCTGGGCACCCTGTGCCAGCGCCTCAGCACCCTCACAGGGAAGAGCTTCTGCCTTATCTCCAACCTGAACTCCCCCAGTTTCAGTTTGATCCCATCCCTCCTTGGTCCTGTCGCTACAGTCCCTGATGAAGAGTCCCTCTTCAGCATCTTTGTAGCCTGCAGACACTAAGGACACCAGAATTGCACACAGTGCTGCAAGGCAGGGGTCTCAGGCTCAGTTTTTCCTTCCTGCATGAATCCTATCTTTACTCAAGACCAGCACAGTTATTGTAGTGGATGACTCCAGATGCCTGTTCGTAAATATCACAAATGATCTTTTTTTGTTTAAGAGAACGAAAATAGATTCTGAATGCCACAATTCAGTAAATAGCAGGTGGCAGAGTCGGCTTATCACAACTGCTTCCTACTCTGAAATTATGCCTGCTAACTTTAACAGACTATAATGAACTCCCAGTCCTGCATGTGAAACAACACTATTTGTGAGTCGTCTTTTTCCTTTACAGGAAGAAGAGGATAAGTTGATTGAAGATAAGGCTTTAACAGATACCGAATATGCCAAAGAAATAGAAGACCCATTGGCAGTCTTAAAAGGGATTTTGTCAGAGGTATGGTATGTAAAGAGTTTATTCCTTTGATTTTGATAGTGGGAACCCTAGGAGGTGGTGGTAGTTTTTGCACAAGTGGGCAGGTTTATGTGTACAGAACTCTTCAGAGCATTGTGAAGCATATAAAACTTGTAACTTAACCTGCTTTAATGCTAGTAAGAGGTCCTTCATTCACTAAGGGCCCTTTCTGAGTATTTAAGTGCTTACTGAAGCTGTTGCAAGAGGTGGTGTGACATTGGCTTGTTAACAAACAGGAAGCACTTCAGAACTAGATACCTGTGTGTGTGTCCCTTGGCTTTTGTAACCTTCGTTATCCTCATTTTCAATTTTGTTTTTTGTAGGAAGAAGCTAAACAAATACCTGTGGATCAATTGGGGCAGAAATTATCAGAGAAGAAAGGGGTGTCCTGGAATAAGAAGTACCGAAAGCAGTATGGACCATTACGAAAGGTAATGTGCATGTATGTGAGTTTCTTTTGTACTCTTAAGATCACTTTCCATTTCTATTCCTATTTGAATAGTAGTAGGATGATAATTGCAAGTGCTGGTCCTTGGACTAGCAAGGTAGAACGTGTAAAAGAGGTCACTCTGCTCTTGTGAGACCCCACTTGGAGCACTGTGTGCAGTTCTGGTGTCCTCTTTTGGTGTCCTCGGCATAAGAAGGACATAGAGCTGTTGGAGCAAGTCCAAGGGAGGGCCATGAGGATAAGTAGAGGTTGGAGTGGCTCCTGTATGGAGCCAGGCTGAGAACACTGGGGCTGTTCAGTCTGGGGAAAAGAAGCTGTGTGGAGACCTCAGAGCAGCTTCCAGTGTCTGAAGGGGGATACAAGGATGCTGGAGAGGGAATCTTCATCAGGGACTGGAGTGATAGGACAAGGGGTGATGGGTTCAAACTGAAAGAGGGGAAGTTCAGGTTGGAGATAAAGCAGAAGCTCGTCCTTGTGAGGGTGCTGAGGCACTGGCACAGGGTGCCCAGAGAAGCTGTGGCTGCCCCATCCCTGGCAGTGTTCAAGGCCAGGTTGGACACAGGGGCTTGGAGCAACCTGCTCTAGTGGAAGGTGTCCCTGCCCATGGCAGGGGGTTGGAACTGGATGAGCTTTAAGGTCTCTTCAACCCAAACCAGTCTGGGATTCTATGAAATACATGTGGAAGCGTCATAAACCCAAGTTTGAAATGATGGGGTTTGTGTGTCAATTTGAGGATGAGCATGTGAAGTAGGCAATTCAGGTTGCTTATATTGAAAACTGGGTTTCTTTTTCATCTTGCCTTTGCTTTTGTTTTAGTATCTGCAGAATCATCCTCAGATTTTTGAGTTCAGCCCTGATGAAAACAAGGTTGGTCTGAAGGAAAAACACAAGCTCACTGTTAAGTCAGATTTTCAAGGCAAGGATCTCCAAAGCCCTCCTCAGAAGAATGATGTCCAGTGGGACTCAGAGAAAATCCCTCCAAGGCTAAAGGACAGTTCTGCTGGTTGTCATTGGTTTGATCTGAATGATTCCAAAGTTCAGCCCATCAAGGAAAAGGATATTGAGAAACAATTTGAGGGGAAAGAGAGTGCCTACATGCTGTTCTATCGCAAATCTCAGTTAAAAAGGCCACCTGAAGGTACACAAAGCTCATCTTTATGTTCTGGGGGCCAGCTTCATTGGCACTTTGTTTTCGGGAGGGTAAAGGCTGTTGGGCATAGTTGCAAGAACTGAAGATACAGATTTCCTTCTGGTGATCATTTGAAGAAAGGGTTAACTGAAGAATACAAGGTTACCTCCAAGGAGGTGGTGGCCAATTAGTTGGCTGTAGCTGACTTTAGGCCAGGTTGGACGGGGCTTGGAGCAACCTGCTCTAGTGGAAGATGTCCCTGTGCGTGGCAGGGGTTGGAACTGGAGGAGCCCTAAGGTCCCTTCCAACCCAAACCAGGCTGGGATTCTAACATCTTCTAGAAGAAATATAAGATGTTGCTAACAGTGTTGATATATTTGTTTCCCTTGGGAAAAAATGCTGGGATGAAGTTAAATCATCTTGCAGTTTAATTTTCTCTGTTAGGAAAGGATACAACATTATGGCTCTGAATTTTCAATGGTTACTGTACTGTAATATCTCATCTTGATCACTTGTTTGCCCAAACACATGTTGAGCAGCTTCAGTAAAACTAACCTATGGTATTTTTTGCAGCACGAGGAAATCCAAGGTACAAAATACCCACACACCTTCTGAATGAAATGAATGCTGCTAATACTGAGCTGCAAAAAAAGAGGTATATTTATGTAGCTGTACCAATCTCTTGAACAGCTTTCTTAATCTGCAGATCTCCAAAGGGACTTAAATTGAATGAAACTCAAAATAGAGCCAGATTCAAGAGAGTTTGAGATGAGCTCTTAGGCAGAAGTTCTTCCCTGTGAGGGTGCTGAGGCGCTGGCACAGGGTGCCCAGAGAAGCTGTGGCTGCCCCATCCCTGGCAGTGCTCAAGGCCAGGTTGGACACAGGGGCTTGGAGCAACCTGCTCTAGTGGAAGGTGTCCCTGCCTGTGGCAGGGGGTTGGAACCAGATGAGATTTAAGGTACCTTCAAACACAAACCAGGCTGGGATTCTGTAAGGGTATAGGTATAAAGAGGAAGACATGGTTGTGCCTGTGCTGAATCAGTGTCACTGCACTTGTTCTTTCTCTGCCTTTCAACAGAGTACTGATCAGCAACACAGTCTGAAAACCCCTATTAACCTCCATATCCCTAAAGATCAAGTTTGTCATAGTGTTTAGAAATGTTGACTAAGTTGTAGAACTACCCAGAGCATACTGTTAAGAGTGCTTATGTGGAGGATGTCTCTGTATTACACGTCATCTTTGAACACCTCTTTGCATACTTCTTGAAGAAGCACAGAATGTGGCAGTCAATTTAGCCATGAGGGTAACAGTTCAGGCCACAGAAGCATCTCTGAGATAAGACAGCCATTCATTGGGGTTAAATTCCCTGCCTTACTCCTGTGTTCTTCTTCCCAAGAGCGGAATGTGATTCAGCCAACAACGGCATTGATGTACATCTCCACTTGAGCTCATGTTATACGTTTCACAATGGGGCTTTGCACCCTGCGCTTACTTGGAAAGAGAGTGTTGTGGATTTGACTATTGATAGAAGGAAAACACTAGGAGACCTTCGGCAATCAATATTCCAGGTATTTGCTGTATTAAATGAACTTGGATCCTTAGTTTTCACTTGGGCCACAAGGAGATTTCCAGAGGTATTTGTGCTGCAATTTTTATCTCATTGAGAAGTTTTCAACAGTAAAGATAGTTAGAGGGGGACTAAAAGCCCAATTTATAACATGCTTTTTTAGAGAGATTTACATCAAAGCTAACTCAGTGTCAGGAAGCACTGTTTGCTTTCCTTGTATCTCCCATTCTGGCTAGTGTCCACTTGAATCTACTTTTGTCTCTTTGGTGACAGGCCTGAAAGGCCAAGTCCTAAATGCTTGAGTGTTTCCTGCATTCCTGGCCTGGTTGAGATAAATCTCTGTAACTTGTTACTTATCACCCAGTGAGTTTGGTAGCCAGGCTGCAGCAGTGCTCAGTGGAGTTGTAATGCTGAGTGCTGTGAGTTATTGCTTGCTGGCAGTTTGTTTCTTGGACTCTTTTTATTCTTCCTAATTAGATGTTGGAATCTTGGGAAGGAGACATGATCCTCAGTATTGCCAAGCCTTTACCAGCAGGACTACATCTTTACCAGACGCTTGATGGTAAGACAAGGCTCCCATGTTATTTACATGCTGTATTTCTGCAGACATTGAGCATTTCACATGTAAACCAGCTTGGACATGTGTATTACTGGACATCGAGTCTTCAAACTCAAACTTAGGTGCAAATCCACTGCAGGTAAGTTATTTAGGACACTCTTGTTAGTGAAATGAAGGGACTTGAGACTTGGTTGTATGTAATCTTGGTTGTGAAATACAATGAGACTGCAGATCTTATCCAAGTTAAACATACTTGCTGGCAAAAATAGCAGTTACGTGTTTTGATCTTGATTTACTTATGAATGTTTGCTTTCATACTATTTGCCTAGTAGGTAGAGAACATAAAAGAGAGGAGCCAGGGTGACACGAAAGAAAAGCATAGGTTAGACTTAAGCAGAAGTTGGAATTCTGTAAAGGAAGAGGCTTACATAAAGAGTACATTATTGCGTAATTAGGCTTTTAAAAAGCTTGAGTTCTGTCTCTGGTTTTACACTGTTGTGCAATTCCAAAGGTTTCTCTTCAAAAGCCATTTTAAGATTTTTATAGTCTTTGTGGTCTGTTTCAGAGAATGAGGGTCCTACCAGCACATAACCAACTTCCCGTGATAGTGACTTCAACATACAGAGGCACTCATAGCTGCTGTCAGTATTTTTCCACGTGCTAGTATGGTTCTTTAAATGACAACCTGAATCTGACTTACTGTAGGAAGGTAGAGGAAACTGCAGCAGGGGCATTAGTATTTCAGAGAGTGGGCTTGGAATGTACAGTGTGCAAATCCATATTAAATCCAACCTTTTCATTTTAGGTCCATTGATTCACTGTTCAGTCTTATGTAGATAATTCTGACCAAGCTGCTTTGCCAAGTGCTCGCTTGGGCCTCACTTTGCAAAGGAAATGGAATTCAAACCTTTGTGCTGTGGCCCTGTTTACTTGGTGAGAGTGCTGTAGGGGTGTGCACCTGCTTGTGGGGCCCTTGCTACATGGGTGAACCCTAACTTACCCACCCTAAATTCTGACCACACAAGCTTTTGTACTGATACACTTGAGCCAGAGTAGAATGTGCCAGTATATTTGAGTCCACCAGCTCACCCTGTTTGTCTGTTTTGTGGGGGGCAAGAACCTGATGATTTCCTCGTTTTTAGGAGATGAGCTGACACTGGATGGCATTGGGCTGGCTGATGGAGCAGATGTCTTTGTGTGGAATGGGAAAGAGGTAAAAGAGCCAAATATCTTCTCTGCTTGTCTGGTCTGAAGAGATAAGATGTAGATACCCACTGCCAGTTACATCAGAGGATGTTCTGGAAACATCTGGTGCCTCTTGGATGGAGATGGGTTGATAGTAATGTAATAACAAAAACTTATGCCCTGTAGTGAATTCTTTACTATGGAGGTGGTAAGGCCCAGGTTGACCAGAGAAGCTGTGGCTTCCCCATCCCTGGCAGTGTTCAAGGCCAGGTTGGACACAGGGGCTTGGAGCTACCTGCTCTAGTAGAAGGTGTCCCTGCCCATGGTAGGGGTTGGAACTGGAGGAGCTTTAAGGTCCCTTCCAACCCAAACCAGGCTGGGATTGTATGATTTTTGACATATGAGACCTGTCAGTGATTATTTCTATGTATGATCTCCCTGAAATGCTGCACTACTTCTTTAGTGTTACAAATTCCTTTTAATAATAAGACTTCCGCTTGACTTTCGAATGCTTGTAATACAGCATTTTTATCCTATCTCTGTAATGGAAGCAAATGTTAGATCTAATAAAATACTAGATATTAGATCTAGATAATGCTTTGCTAAGAAAGGTTGGACCAGATGATTCTTGAGGTCCCTTCCAGCCTGGTATTCTATGTTTCTAAAGTTCTGTGATACTTTTTGAAGGGCTTCCGTTGTAGAAGTATGCGTTTTCTTTCTGATCTATCAAAAAATCCTAACACAAACCAATCCCAAACCAAAAGAAAACATTTAGTGCTGCAGAATATATGGACCCAGTCAGAGATCAATATGATCACACAAAAGCCATTTATTGCAAAGCCTTAACTCCTTATATACTATTTCTTACATGCACTTACAGTGATTTGGCATATTATGATTGGGTACATGTCTTGAAGACCCCCAGTGACTAACATATAATTGGTTAAGCACAGGTGTGAGAACTTGACCTCGAAAGCTTGCCAACAGTCCACAGTTCTCATTAACTCGGTGAATTCCAGCTTCTTCTTACCTTGCTTGCTTAAGCTTCCTCGGGCTTCTCATGGCCTTGCTGTGTCTTTTGGGATTATTCAGAGTTCATGTACAAATTATCTATTCTCCCATGAGAACACTGTCTCCACAATCTAGTAAGAGCCATTCTTGTCCTGGTTGTACTTAATGGTATGCTCTTCGCTACTCCAGCTTCCTGCATGATTCAATTGTCTTCAGCAAGGAACTATATTCTTTGCCTAGGTTGAGTATCAGAAAGGCCAGATTTTGAAGTCTAACTCTCTTGATCTGCCTCAGTCACAGTTTTGGGTAGTTCTTTAATAACCTGAAGGGCTGAATTCCTCTCTTTTTAATCTGATGGAGACCAAGTATTTTTATGTGCAGACTTGGAACAGCTAAGGAACAGACCTTAGCATTATGCTTTCTCTTCCCAATAACTCTTGAGTTACTCCAGTTGTTTGTTCAGTAGGCATTTGATCAAAGGTGGTTTGTTTCTAATGAGGAGAGAAGATCCATCTTTTCCTCTCAATAGTAGTTACTTATTGCTGTCCAGTCTTTTCTGTATTGTATTGATCCCCACAGCATGAATCTTGCTTTCCTTTCTTCAGGTTGGTGGCACAAAGGTGATGACAGGCCCTGATCATGAACCCATGGTCCTAAACATTCTTCGTTTAGCGGAGTACAACGAGGGAGGGAAGGGTCAGCACTTCACAGAGTCACAGCACGTCTTTTCCTGCAGCACAGAACTGGGTGAGCTGCACAAAGCCTTAGCACCAGCTGGAGGAATCATTCTAAAGAACCTCTCGGGACCAGAGAAAGAAGCTAAGAACTGGGAAGTTCTTCTGGAAGAAGATATGAACAAAACAGTCAGAAGTGTTGGTCTCACAGATGGGTGCTCAGTACTCATCTTAGACAGCCATGATCAGAGGTAACCATTTGAATTACAAGTATAATTAAAGAAAACGCAATTCTGGCAAAATCTGTTCAGCTCAAATTATGACAGCCATGTATGTAGTCTTTTACTTTGAGCTTTCTAGTTCAAGATAATGTAATCTTAAGTTTTGGAGATCAGGTACTTACCAACTTTTAACTTTCTTTGCTCTGGAAGTGCAGATTCAGTCATATCCTTTACACTTTTAAAGGGGAAAACTTGGTGAGAACAACCTGTGTGTTGGCACATCTTGGCATAACCTGAATTCCTGAGATTTGAGTGGGGTGGTTCTCCAAGGGACTCAGTGAGATGAGAGAACAGAGCAATATCAGAAGCGTCTTTGCTGAATCTCTTGAGTTGAATCTAAAGATGCTCGGGCAGATTTCTGGTCTCATTTCAATTCCCAGTGTATAATCCTTAGGTTAATTCCCATTTTCAGAGATGTGTATGTGCTTGCTACATAAATTCTGACCTTGTAGTTGGAACAGTGCTGAAAAATGGGGATTAGATCAAGCAGTGAGAGATCGACCCCTCAGCTTGTGGACTTGGGATACAGAGGATCCAAGGCCAGCTCTACAACTGTCTTTCACCATCTTTGTCCTACTCATTTCTTACAGCTTCGTGAATGTGTCAAGTGGCAATTTGACAGCTTTTACGTACGACATCAGCTGGCTCCAAGTGAAAAACTTCTGCAGAACAGGAGATGAAGAGAAACATGTTAAAATTACTGCCACTATAGAAACAGTAAGGAGGCACATTTGGTCATGGTTGTAACACAGGCCTGGTTCCCAGGAAAACTTGGCCAGTGCATGTGGGCCAGTTGAGGAGGAGTGGATTTAACCTCAGGGCTGAAATGTTTCTGTCATGAAAATCATAAAATCAACCAGGTTGGAAAAGACCTTTAAGCTCATCCAGTCCAACCGTTCCCTAGCACTGCCAAGGCCACCAAAAACCCATGGCACTGAGGCCTCGTCTCCAGTCTCCACGGTGTGTGAACACTTTCAGGGACGGTGACTCCAGCCCTGCCCTGTTCAGCCTGTTCCAATGCCTGAGCACCCTCTGGGGAAGGAATTGTTCCTCAGCTCCATCTAAACCTGCCCTGGTGCAGCTTGAGGCCGTTTCCTCTTGTCCCATCCCTTGTTCCTTGGGAGCAGAGCCCAGCCCCTCCTGGCTCCATCCTCCTGTCAGGCAGTTGTAGGGAGCGATCAGGTCCCCCATGAGCCTTCTCTTCTCCAGACTGAACCCCTCAGATCCCTAAGCCGTTCCCCATCACACTTGTGCTCCAGGCTCTGCACCAGCTCCATTGCCCTTCTCTGGCCCCACTCCAGCACCTCAGTGTCTCTCTTGTAGCCCAGAACTGAGCACAGGATTTGAGGTGCAATACTGTGCAACTCAGATTTACAGTTACTGGGATACTTTGCATGCTGTATAATGGGACTGTAATGCAGGTAACTGAAACCAGTGCAGCTACATCACTGGGCTTTAGTGAGAAACAACATTCTTTTTAGTCTATCCCATTAGTGTATGTTTGGTGAGGCTATGTCAGTAAAGCAAAAAAAGATACTAGAGGAGGAAGATAGGGATTGAGAGCAGCCCTGAGGGAAAGGACTTGGGAGTGTTGGGTGAGGAGAAGCTCCCCATGACCCAGCATCAGTGTGCACTTGAGCCGAGAATCCCACAGTGTGCTGGGCTGCACTTCCAGAGCATGAGCAGCAGCTCAGGGGGGGTTCTGCCCCCTTGCTGTGCTCTGGGGAGACCTTAGAGCAGCTCCAATGCCTCAAGGGACTACAAGAAAGCTGGAGAGGGGCTTTGGACAAGGGGCTGTAGGGACAGGACAAGGGGAATGGCTTTAAGCTGGAGAGCGTGTGTATAATGCTAGGAATAAGAATATATCCAGGGCTAATTTCATTTGAAGGCTGCATTTTGTAGGCAGACATGTGAACAGCGGGTATGTTACTGGCATTGTGCATTAGGGGTGCTAATGCTGCTTTCTTTTAGGTGATGGCAGATATAAAAATGAAAGCTATAAGGGAGCTTCAGCTTGAGGAGGAGCTGGGTAAGTGCTTTTACATGTGATAATGTTAGAAAATCCACTGCTGTGAAGAGGTTTTGGGTTTGGTTTTCATAAAAGGGGGTGTAAAGGTCTTAATTCATCTAATTCTGAAGCAAATTCTTATTTTTCTTAGCTTAGAAAAAATCAGTGGGTGCCAGACTTGATTAAATACATTTTATGAAGCTCTTGTTTTTCAGAAGCTGTTAGAGTAGGAATAATCGTGTATCTTACTTACTACAGTATTGCACTGAGTATTGATGATTCTTTTTAACCTTATCCCTTTCTTTAAGACAATCCAGTTTTCTTTCTTGAAGGTTGGTTTTGATGCCTTTACCTTTGAGAGCACTGGGTCAGTTTGTATTGAACTGCTTGTGGCTGACAGAGAAAGAAACCTTCACTGAAAGCATCCCAACTAAGAGTGTTCAAGAAGTCTTTAGGAATCTCTCTCCAATTGGACTTTTGATGTCATCCCTCAAGAGGGAGACCTCAAACATAACCCTCTTAATCCTAATATGTTGTCTGTCTAAAGTTCTAAGCCATGTTTCATCCTTATTGAGTTACTTACTAGATCTATCTCTTTCCTGCCCTTTTTTGTTCCAGCAAATGCCAGCTGTCTGAGGCCTGTCAGTGGAAATGGGAAACTCCTGTCTCCAGGTAAATTTAATCATGGTTCTGTAAAAAGTTCAGTTGCGAAACTTAAAGCTTCTCTTTGTCCTTTCCTGGGAGAAGCACACACACACAGAACTCCACTGAGATCCAGGCTTAACTGAAGTGACTGTGTTTGGGTTTGTGGGTTTGTTTGGTGGTTGGGTTTTTTTTCCCCAGTGTTACTGTTCATTAACAGTACCAGTACAGTACTAGAGGTGAAACTTAAATAGGATCATAGAATCCCAGACTGGTGTGGGTTGGAAGAGACCTTAAAGCTCATCCAATTCCAAGGCAGGGACACCTTCCACTAGAGCAGGTTGCTCCAAGCCCCTGTGTCCAACCTGGCCTTGGCCCAGCTTCTCTGGGCACCCTGTGCCAGTGCCTCAGCACCCTCACAGGGAAGAGCTTCTGCCTAAGAGCTCATCTCAGTCTCCCCTGTTCTGGCAGGTTAAAGCCATTCCCCTTGTCCTGTTCCTACAGGCCCTTGTCCAAAGTCCCTCACCAGGTCTCTTGTAGCCTCTTTAGCACTGGGAGCTGTTCTAAAGTCTCCTGGAGCCTTCTCTTCTTTTTCAGGCATCCGTAACGAGTAAAACTGATAGGCATTCCTGCTTTTGTTCATTGACCGCTGGCCATATGCTTCAAGGCTGTGGGAATTAACATTAAGTCCCATGTTCCGTAGCTTAAACTGGAGTCTCTAAATGATCTGTTTTAAATCATACTTAATACATTTACATAGCAACTTCCTAGATGTTCCAGGGGCAGTGGTGAGAAACACAATGGATCAGCTTTGTGCTTGCTGGGAAATATTTGCCATGTCTTTGCTATTTTGCATTAGTAAAACATGGCCAGGAAGCCAAAGAGAGTTTAATTCCCCCCCCTCAGTGCTTGTCAGCCAGCACCTGGAGAATTGTGTCCCTTTTAAGGGCTCCTCAGCATGAGAAAGAAGCTCTTACACATTAGAGCCCATCTAGAGCACAGCACCCAGTATGGTTTGGGTAGCTGGAGCATATGAAAGAGGAGGAAATCTGGGTTCTTCCAGCTAAAGAGGAAGAGACTTGGGTGAAGCAAGTAAAATTGTTGTCTTTAACTCCTTAACATGGGCATAGAGGGAAGGCAGAGCCATATTCATCTCAGAGGAGCACATGAAAAAGATGAAAGGCAGCAGACACAAGTTTCAGTGAGGGGAAATTCCAGCTCGTATGGAGGGAGGGGAGAAGGGAATTCACAGTGAGAGGCGTCAAACAGTAGATAGGGAGCCCAGAGAGGCTGGTAGCTATGCATCCCTGGAGCTGTTCAGGGAAAGCCCAGAGTCAACTGCTGTGATTTCAGAGCAGGGGTTTGGATGACACAACCTGCAAAGATTCTGTCAGTCCATATGCAAGGAGTGGTGGGGAGGAACCTTTACACGGATGTTGCTTTGATCTCATCAGTGGAGGCTTACAGATGTGATGTCAACGCTGTGCAAGTGAAGCTCTCTAAATGACAGTGAATGTTTTTATCTTAAAGAGCAGCATGATAGAACAGGTATTTTCAGGAAGCAGCAGATGATAATGATGATGTTCTGTGTGTTTTCGTCCTTCTTGAAGTGCCTGAGGATTATACTGTCAAAGAAGCAGAACTGAAAATGGGAAGCTTGCTTGGGCTGTGTCATGGGAAAGCTCCAACTTCCACTCAGGTATGGTAGTGGTGTGACTGAAAAGAGTTTTATGCTGGTTTTATGTTTGCTTAGAGTTCCCAATGTGTCTTGTACTCCTCTTTTTATTCTCCTGATGGTTGAAAATGGCATGGAAGTAAATGCTCAGTGGCACTAAGAATTACACATTTCAGCATGAAGACTCTCACCACTTAGTTGCAGAAGGCCAAGAGCATATATGTGACCAGTTTATAGCACATGTGGGTAATGGTAAATCACTTGTCATTCATCTCTTCATGGTTGTCCAGCTCCTGTGCTCTGCTGTGCATGTAAAGAGCATAAAGGAATAAAAGGGGGGTATTGCTCTTGATATCTACAAGTTGTAAGTATGGAGGAGAAAAAGTGTATGTATATTTCTAAAGATCAGAGTGCATTTTCAGCAGGCATGCAGATGGTTAATGAAGATCTAAGGGTGGCCATAACTCGGTTGCGTGTGCTTCTCTGTTTGTACTGCTTACGTTGTTTGCTTTAGCCCAAGGGAGTTCCAGTGCTGTTTGACTGATGGCAGGATTGCAATAACTGGTCTATGTGTGCAGTAGGGAGTGTTACTTCACAGTATTTCCATACTTCAGTATGTATTCTAATAGCTTATACTTGCCTTTTCAGCTCTTCTTGTACTTCATTATCGGAAGTGACCACACTGCAACCCCTGAGATGGAAATAGTTGTGGAAGAGACTACTTCTGTCAAAGAGGTAGGTCTTGCTGCTTTGAAAAGCTTTTCTCATGCATGGCCCACGTCTGCTTCTCCTGGAGAGCTTTGCTTCATCTTCTGCATCACTTCAGGTCACCAAGAGACACTAAGGCAAAGGAAGTGTTTCAATACCAAAAGGCCTTGATCTTTCTCCAAGTAGTAAAGAGACATCTTTGCTTTTCCCAAGCATGAACTCAGCCTAGCTGCTCCGTGCATGACAGCCACTCCTGTTACACACAGCAGTCCTCAGAATGATAACACACATGTGGCACAGCCTGACACAGTTCTCCTGTAACTTATCAAACTCTGAGTGCACAGAACTGGGGTAAAAGGAGTCAGGAGGAGCTGTGCACATGGTGAAGGAAGCAGTTCTCAGTGCTGCTAATGCAGGGTTCTGGCACAGAGACCTAATGTCGCTGAGTAGCAGCTGGGAAGTGTTGAGCTTGCACAATTGCTTTTGAAAAGGTGAATCTTCAAATTCTGGGACACAGGTTTTTCAAGTAAAGCCACAAAAAGGCAGCACAGATTTGGGATGTTTTCCTTTAAAAAAGCTTGTAACAGCTGACTCACCTACCCAGCATTCCAGTGCCTGAAGGGCCTGCAGGAAACCTGGAGAGGGGCTTTGGACAAGGGCCTGTAGGGACAGGACAAGGGGAATGGCTTTAACCTGCCAGAAGAGGGGAGTCTGAGATGAGCTCTTAGGCAGAAGCTCATCCCTGTGAGGGTGCTGAGGCACTGGCACAGGGTGCCCAGAGAAGCTGTGGCTGCCCCATCCCTGGCAGTGTTCAAGGCCAGGTTGGACACAGGGGCTTGGAGCAACCTGCTCTAGCGGAAGGTGTCCCTGCCCATGGCAGGGGGTTGGAACTGGACGAGCTTTAAGCTCCCTTCAACAAAAATCAGGGATTCTGTGATTGTGTGATAGTAATTTCTTGCCTGAATCCAATCCTTGCAAGGTTTCATGTGTAGCTCAAGTACAGCATGTGTAATTGCATAGGTTTTAGGACTGGACCAAGAATCAGTTGCTCAGTCTTTGTTAAAACATTCCAGTATAGATTTGCTGAGAACTGTATTTCCCAATCTATGAATTAAGCCAAGTCTCACCATATATTTCTTTTTTCAGTGTCTAAATTTAATGCTGGAAAAGTCTGGATTATCAGGTCAGTTGTGTTACTGTTTAATGATTTTTTAAAAGGAGTTCCCAGATTTGTAAGACAGCCTTTGCTATCCTGAAACTTGGATCATTCAAACAAACATACAACTTGGACGTGTCATTGTAATGTGAGGAGGGGAGAGAATTTTCACTCTGTCTTGCTCTGATAAAAGCTGTGCAGTTGCTCTTGAAAAGCAGTTCCAAGCTCTCTATTTAATCACAATATGGCAAAATCCATAGTTCCAAGACTATTGGCTTGGGAGAGCTGGAGGTGTTTGGCTGCTTTGACAAGTTCTCTTCTGTAGTGGGAACCACTGCGTGAGATTAACTGTAAAAAAGCAACTTTTAGTTGCTTTGCAAACCCAGGTTACTCAAAGTGAGATCAGTTGGGCTATTTGGGAATCTGAGTGGTGGCAGTCACTTGTGGGAAGATTGAGATGAGCTCTTCCCTGTGAGGGTGCTGAGGCGCTGGCACAGGGTGCCCAGGGAAGCTGTGGCTGCCCCATCCCTGGCAGTGTTCAAGGCCAGGTTGGACACAGGGGCTTGGAGCAACCTGCTCTAGTGGAAGGTGTCCCTGCCTGTGGCAGGGACTGGAACTGGATGATCTTAAGGTCCTTCCCAACCCAAACCAGTCTCTGTTACAAAGCTTTTATATGAGGATTATGGAGGAGGTAGAGCACAAAAATGACATCTGAATTTTCTGGCTGAACATCTCTTTCCATTCATGTTGAGAGGGAGGAAGGAGAGAAGAGACTTAAAGTGGCATTGCATTCCAGCTTCCCTGCTGAACACTCACTGAATAATGAGTATGTGTTACAGTGGATTGATGGCTCCAAAAGCCATCAGAGTTCACCTGAAAGACATTACAGTTAAAATACACATTGAGTAGCCTAACTGATAATGAAACACTGTGCTCTTGTGTATATGTACATATGAGTTGAAAAAGTTAAAGAGGCCTTGAAATAAACTTTACCTTTTTCATTGCCTACAGTGGAGGGTTCCTGCTAAGGAACAGTGCCTCTGGGTTTAGTGCTTTATTTTCTGTGACTAGTTTTGAGCAGTTTATTTGTTCTTTCTGTCTCTGGTGCGCTTTACATATAGATGCTAAATGTGAAGTATTGTAGTTTCTGGACTGCACCATCTCTATTTCTCCTGGTAGAAAATCAGAGAGGGGGAAGCTATTGAGTAGGTGAGGAAGAGACATTACTGCAAGTAAGAGAAGACCATTTCCAAAGAGCAAAATGTTTCTAGAGCCTGGGGAAGGACGTGAAGGAGTACTTCTGTCAGTTTGTTAGTTGTGGTTGAAATACAAAGGATCACAAGAGCCTTTTACCACTAAAAGAGGTCTGTAATGGTTTATCTTGAGCCCCTATTCTTGGCTAATGAGTTTCCCATCTGTATGGTTTTGGTAGGTGACAACTGGCACTTAAGGAGGATTGACTGGTGCTATGAAGCAGGGGAAGCATTGAGTCAGGAGGTAAGAGCATCTTCTTTTTTGACTTGAATCATGCTGTGGTTGGTTTGCTCCCACTTTAGAGACTTCCCCAAAGAGAGCTGCAGCACCACAAACCCATGGCGGGTCTTTGTGTGCTACAGCAGCACACACACTGTTGGATTCTCACAGCCCTTGTGAAGACACTGTTAGGATACCTATGGTGCAAATGGAAACCTTAGGCACCTGCCCCTTATGATTAAGTCGTATGCAGAGAGCTTTTCCTAAAGGCTTACTGTGTATTAAAGGGTTGTGTGCTAAGAAGCATGAGGTGTCAGCTGGTGAGATGTGGAGGTGCAAAGGAAACACACAGCTCGGCAGGATGCTGTGGAGGGGCTCCTGCAGAGCAGACTCCTATAGGTGCAGCGTTCTGTGCTGTTGCAAAGCTGCCTCTGAGTGATGGATGTTAAATCAGTATTCACGCTCTTTGGTGGACCTTTGGCATGCATGGCTTAAAAACCCACCAACATCTGCTTTAAGAACATGGAGACTTACAGCTCTGTTGTGCTTTCTCTTCCTACAGAATGCTACGCTGAAGGAACTGAATGTTTGCAGAGGAGACACTTTGGTTATAACTGAAGGAAAGCTTCCACCAAAGGTAAAACCAGAGAGATTGTGTTCTTTAGGCAGTTGGCAGTGGTTGGAGACTGGAATATGACAGCTACTTCTCTTTTGTCCTCTTGCATGTCTTTAAAATATTTCAGTTGAAGAATTTGGTTGGCAATCATGAAGAATGATTGTAGTTTTAAATCTCTCCTGTTCTATATCAATTTCTACAAGATTCTGAGTCTCTATTTATTCTTCTTTCAGTTGCTGTAGTAAAAGCCTTGCCCATTGCAGCAGCTTTGCCTAGAAGATCTGTTAAGGTTGACAAATCTTAGTGTCATGGTTTAGTGGTGATTTGGCAGTCCTGGGGTAATGGTTGGACTTGATCTTAAAGGTCTTTTCCAACCAAGTTGATTCTGTGCTTTCTGGCATGCCCAGTTCTTATGAAGCACAAGTTTTAGACTGCTGCGTCCTCCCAGAATGACAAACCTTAAGTGTTTGCCTTCAGATTTGGCCTGAGGATGCTGTTTGAAACCACAGGGCCCTGCTGGGAGACTCAGTGATAATTACACAAGTGAAAGGATTCTTTGCTAACAAACTTAAAGCAATATCAGGATAGTCTGTGGTGAGACACAGGAACAGGCTGCCCAGAGAAGTCATGGATTCCCCATTGCTGGAAGTTTTCAAAATCAGGTTGGGCTAGTTGAGCTAGTAGGGTTGCTCTGGCATGGTGTAGACATTCCAGGGGAGCCATGCTGGAGGTGGATCCACCTCCAGGGGCTCTCTGCCATCAGCCACAAGACCAGTGGTGTCCTCCTCCATGTGCTCCCAACTATCAGCCACTGGTGTCCACCTGCATGGGCTCTTCTTGGTAGTTAGATTGATCCACTTCCATGAGTTCTTCTTGGTCTTGGGGGATCCACATGCACATGCTCCCCAGCATCAGCTGCATGAGAATTGGTGTCCACCTCTATGGGCTCTTTTTAGTGTTTGGCTGGATCCACTACTACATTCTTCTTGGTCATTGGGTGTATCCATCTCCATGGGCTCCATACCATAAGCCACACAACCAGTGTTGTCTCACATCTGATACCTCTTCTTTTTTGTGGGTACTTCCTGCAGCCATCTCTCATTTCTCCACCTCAGAAGAGGGTTTAGATGAATCCAGCTTCCTCTGGTAAGGTCATATCTGTGTCCAAAGCTCCAGACAAAAGTATCACTCAGTTGGATCTGTAATGTGACAACAGAGCCATGATGGGACTGTGGGGCTGCAGAGTGTTTGCACTCTTGTCCTTCTACAAGGAGGAAGTGAGAGTTGGTTACAAAAGCTCAGATGTGAACAAGTCTTCTTGTTCTTCCTGAGATGGAGGTGGAACTTTTCTTTGTCTGCACGTGAGCTCCCTGATGGTACTTTCTGTTCACTTTCCAGGGCTTCCTGAAGATACCCATCTGGTGGTTCAAGTCTTCAAGTCCTAAGAAACACAGAGAGCGTGCACCAGACCAAGTGAATGGGCTGACTTGCCAGATGGATGCTTTGCAGGTGTCTCCTGCAGGAGGTGAGCTTAATCAGCAAGTTTATGGTGAGAGGAGCTACTTAGGAGGCAGATGCAGTTTTCACAAGCCCACCAATGCTGGATGGTGGGGTTCTGATGTTCCTCAGCTGCACTAAGTCAAGGGTAATTTTGAAGCAGGGGATCTTGTCACAAATAAAATGGCTTTTCCACACCTGAAGGCATTGGCAGTAGTGTAAAGCATCTACTCCATGAGCACAGAGGTAATTTGCTTTAAATGCCAGACTCCTGTTATCATAATTAATGCATTTCAGGCTGTGTTGCTTTTGAGAAGCTGCAGAAGGAGTGATGAGTACATTTTACACAGCATTAAAGATCTTACATAGGGTATTTGAACCCACTTTTCATAGAATCCCATTAACTGGTTTGAGTTGAAGGGACCTTAAAACTCATCCAGTTCCAACCCCTTGCCATGAGCAGGGACACCTTTCACTAGAGCAGGTTGCTTCAAGCCCTGTCCTAATGTCTAATTTACATCTCCCCTTCTTTTGAAATCCAAACCAAAAAGCAGCCAGGGCAGGAATATTGAGGGAGGGTTGGGAAAGAAGAAATGTGATTGAGGACAACATTGAAAAATGGGAAACCAGTTTTCTACTAAAAATAATACCCTTGCTTTGCTGGTGAATTGTACTGCAGAGCAGGACCCTGCTCCTTTGAGAAGGTCTCTTTGCATTTGTCTCCTTTCCTGTCTGTCTTTCTCGGTTTGATTTTACCCCTAATGATTTCAGTAGCACAAGTAAGAGCAGCTGGAACTTTCCTTGCACCATGCTCTACAATTCAGAGTCATAACCAATTAATAGATGCTATTTACAAATGGAATTGGCCCTGGGTTTCAGATTTGAACTATAGGATCAGTTGAAACTCTTCCTGTCTGGCAACTAAAAACTGTGTATTTATCAACTGTGTATTAGGTTTTTCTAACTGATGTCGAAAACCAAATGAGGTCAGGTCCCTTTTCTAAATGAAATCTCATTTCAAAGTGACTCATTTCGTAGGATGCTAAACAAAGTCATGTTGATTCTTCTGTTGTTTATTTTTTCCTCTCTTTCCCATCTAAAGATTCACCAGGACACATCTACACAGGCATGGACCTTTGCTATGCTGGCAGTATAGAAATAGCTGGAGAAGATTCTTTGGAAGATCTGAAGATGCAGGTTAGATGTTCTCCTGTCTTGGAAACTTCCAGCAACACCAGGATTAATTGAGCTCTATTAATACCTATTTCTATTTCCTTTTCCTTTGTCTCCAGTATGTTCTGATATGGCATTTGCTTATATGCCATGTTCAGTGGTAAGTACCAAGAGGCAATTGGAGCATGTAGCTCAGACACTTCCTTAGTGCATCCCCTGCAATTGCCATTCTACCTCTCATGTGTCCTGACCTCAGAAGCCTTGTTGCACTTCATCTGGAACTTGGCTTGAGCCCTACCTTTATTTCACAGTGTAAAAATCCCTCGGGAGAAGCACATACATACAAGCACTTCCTAAAAAGCCACTTTTCATTCCATGTTGTTCCTGTTAGTAGTTTGTTGCACCTTTGTTTTTGTGGTTTGTATATTGGATCTAATGAAGAAAGAATTGCTTTAGATGCACAAAAGGTTGTGTTTGTCATTCAGGAAGGCCAGAAACTAAGGTGCCTTTTTATGCCTTTTTTTTAACCATAAAAGTATAATTTTAATACCTCAACCAGAAAACCCAATCCCAAACCCATGGAAGACATAAACCAATCTTACCATAAAGCTCTTTATTGTCTAGCCAGTTGGTTGTTCTATTTAAACTACATGGGGAAGGATATCTCACCTGATTCTGGTCCATAGCAACACTCGCTCAACTTGGGTTTCAGTCTCTGCCAAACTACAGCTATGAAGAACTGACCATTTACTTGCATCTTGTGAACAAGGAGGATTGTCTTGGCATGAAACGAGCATTGTGTCCTTGATAGGGGCTTGAGGAGCTTGTCCAGTGCTTGGCTGGAGATTGGGGCAATGATTCCATCAGCCTCATTTCCTCATTGTGCACATTTGGGTTCAAAAAAGGAATGCGATCCATTTTTGAAGTGTAAGTTCAATTGGGAAGTGTTGGGAGGGAGTGAAGTCCAACTTGCTTTGAGATTGAAAAGCCAATATGTCAATTGTAGCCACTACCTGTAGCCACAAACAGTAGCTGGGGTAGAATAAATATGAATACTTTGATCCTGGTAGCTTAAGTATTGAGTTGAGAAACTATGGATGTGTTTCTTTTTCAGGCTCTGACCTTACCGTGCTGCCAGGAGCAGGTTGTCCCCCTGCCCTCATTCCTCAGAGCATGGACAGTGGACAGTAAGCGCCCAGGCAAGCTTTTACGAAGCAACAAGCAGCAACTCAAGTAGGTTTCGTGCTGAAGGCACAAGCAGCAGTGGGACAGACTGGCTGTTGGCTGGGTTGTGGGGTGGTGGACTGGTGGAGAAAGAAATGCGCTCAGTCAGACAGAAGCAGAAGACTCATTTCTGGTTAATTCTGTATTGTGCCAAGCACATTATTTAACTCAAGAGCTGTGGAAGGGGGTGGTGTGAGTATGTGATCATAGAATCCCAGACTGGTTTGGGTTAGGAAGGACCTTAAGGTCATCCAGTTCCAATCCCTGCCATGGGCAGGGATGCCTTTCACTGGACCAGGTTGCTCCAAGCCCCATACATCCTGGCCTTGAACAGTACCAGGGATGGAGCATTCAGCAGTTCTTATTCTGCTGAGCTTGATTTTAGGTGATTTTTAAATGCCACTTTTGTCCTTTTCTGGGGTTTTCAGTTTTGTTCTGATCACCTCTTGCTTTGGGTTTCCAGATAAGTACAGATCTACTTGGCTAAACCAGTGATTTATATAATCTTTGTTTTGCTTTCAGTGACTATAGGCTGGGTGCCAGTGTGGAAATCTGCATAGAACCTTTGCAAAAAGAAGAGAATTTGGGGTAAGATCTTCAGATACTTCTTTCTTACAGCACTGCATTTGAGATGAGATTTAACTGAGCAGCTTTGCTCTTAAATGCTCTGTCAGCATTGCAGCTCTGAGGCTGGGAGAAGACTTTGGAACTTCTTTTCTGCTTTCCATAAAGAGAAAAGGAAGGCAGAAGGAAGTGAAAACTGGGAATTCTGGTTTCTGAAGGCATGACTTACTGGAATGATCTGTTTCCCCTTTCTGATGACAGCCCACATGAACTGCTGCTTCGAGTCCAGATGGGAGTACCAGGAGAGAGGGACTACTATGACTCCACAGATATGGTGTGGGATATCTCCAAGGAATGCACAGCCAGGGCACTGAGGCAGAGAGTGGCTGCTCACTATTGTCTCCCTGTAGAGAAAATTGAAATAGCCAAGTACTTCCCTGAAAGATTTGAGTGGCTGCCAATATCCAGCTGGGTAAGACCTGGAATGGCAGAATCCAGCAGTGGTATGGGTGGGAGAAGTATGTATTGACTTGTGCTGCTGTTCTTGAGCTAACGTGTTAAAGCAGATTTCTGATGTAGGAATCTTCTGCTTTGATTTTCTTCAGACACAGAAAATCTCCAAGAGGAAAAGGAAGAAAAAGCTGGAGAGTTTACAGGCAGCACCATACCACCTGAAGGATGGAGATATCATTGGAGTGAAGGTAAATGAACTTGGCTTTCATTGTTGCACAAGGATTAGGTTCAAGTACTGCCACCTTTGTTGTATCTTAACCTCTTCCTAAGTTTCATGCATCCTGCTACATGTCCATGGAAGTACTGGGATGTGGATATGGACAATACGCTGTGTGGGTAGGAAAACTGTTGCTACTGCTGCTTTTTTGTCTTTTTCTCCTGCTCTTTAGCAACCTGATGAAAGTTTCATGCGTTTCCCTCTTAGATCAGGGTACTGGCACTAGAAGGCAGTACTCTAGAGGCTCTGGTGCAGCTCTCAGTGCAGGCATTCACTTTCTAATCTACTCTACTCTCTGTCCAAAAGAAACTGGATCTTTCTTTTTGCCCTAATTTTATTCACTGGTGGGTTTTTTGTCAGCTCTGAGTAAAACCCAAGAACCCTTTAAAATTCATCTTGTAAATTGTAACCCATTACCTTACCCAAAGAATTTTTACAGATCTACTTAATTCTGTCCAAAAGAACTATTCAGTGGGATATAGTCTCTGAATAAGACAAATTCACTGTTAAATGCAAAAACCACATAGGGGAGTCAACAAACTGTTTCGGCTTGTTGTGTTTTCCCACTTAGTTAACTTGGAAGTGAATGGTTGTCACAGTAGTTAGGAGAAATGCTCTGAGTGCTCCCTGTATAACTGAGCAACAGGTGGGAGATAGTTTTAAGCTTCAAACTTTTCATCTACCAAATCTTTTTCCACACCAGAACCTTCTCCTTGATGACACAAAGGACTTCAGCACACTGAGAGATGACATTGGGAAAGAGAAACAAAGGCAGCTTACATTAGAAAAGAAGAAAAGGTATTGAGTGCTGACATTTCTTCTTCATTAGAAACATCAATACTGTTCTTTGCTGCTTTTCAGTCTAGCTTCATACTTCCATAAATTTTTAGGACAGTGTTAGCTGGGTGCTCTTAGAGCATGCAATTCCACTATTCCTCAAGGAAGTGGTGTTCAGGTAACTGAAACACCTGGCTTTGAGTGCTGTGGTCCTACCCCTAGCCTTAGTTTGTTCTCTTGCAACACACTGCAATGTTTGATCCTGCCCTTGGACATGAAATGTGAAGTCCTTGGCTGCCCTGGCCCTGCAAGGGTGAGCTTGAAATGGCATTCTTACAACTCTGTGGAAATCATATTCTGGTCCAGGCTCATGCTGCTGTTGTTGCTAAGTCTTCACACTGATAGAATCCCAGACTGGCTTGGGTTGCAAAGGACCTTAAAGCTCATCCAGTCCCAGCCCCTGCCACGGGCAGGGACACCTTCCACTAGAGCAGGTTGCTCCAAGCCCCTGTGTCCAACCTGGCCTTGAACACTGCCAGGGATGGGGCAGCCACAGATTCTCTGGGCACCCTGTGCCAGCCCCTCAGAACCCTCACAGGGAAGAGCTTCTGCCTAAGAGCTCATCTCAGTCTCCCCTGTTCTGGCAGGTTAAAGCCATTCCCCTTGTCCTTTCCCTACAATCCCTGTTGAAGAGTGAAATAATACTTTATCAATAATGGGTATCTTGTTTTATCTCTCTTTTCACTAGCCGGCAAGCTGAGCGCTTACAGCACCCGGCCTTCTCTGAGGAGAAGCTCAACATGAAGCACCGTAAACCAGAAGTGGCTCTTTCTATAAATGTGGGTGTTTTCAGATAGCAGCAGGAGGTGATTTGCTCACCAGACCGTAGTACCCATGTACTTGATTGGAATGGAGTAACCTCGCCAGGAGCAGCAAGAGGCTGTGCCCTGAAGCCTCTTGAAGGATCATGGAGACAAAGTGGATTCAGGATAACACTGATTGTCTTCTAATCTCTCCTGGGGAAGTTCTTTAGCATCCCTTTATTGATGTGGTACTTATTCTCAGGCTAGTTAAATGCACTTTATCCATGAGAAAATGGGTTAATATAATATAGAACCTTTTGGTGACTCTTTTGTAATCACCATTTTTCTGGTCAGATGCTGATGTCTTGTACCATCACTGCTGAGTTTTCTGAGGTTCTTAATGGAGTCAGAATCATCTCCTTTTACAGTTTTCCTTTGGTTTTTTCCATCTCTGTTCGCTGAAGTTACTGATGATACCAGGATTTGCTTTTATCTCTTAACCTGAGCCTGTAGTTGCTGAGTCAGGAATGAAGGAAATACGGGAATCTCTGGGCAAAGGGTACAAAATTGGCTCAAAGAAGAGCGAGTTCAGAATCTGCAAGCTGTAAGCCATGGAGTTTCTTTGTTGTATGGAACAGCAGTGTGCTGAGACTGCATTTTAAAGTTGCAGGGCTTTTTTGTTGTCCATAAGCTTCATTAACAAAGTATGGGAAAAAATGGTGGATCTGATGTTTGGTTTTATGTTGTTTTTTTTGTACTCTGGACAAAGGCTTAGTTTAGTTTCAGTCTTCTTGAGAGGACTTTCCCTCATTTCTTCTATTTCCAATAGCTCTGATTTGTTCATATGGTGCATGTGAGGAAATGGAAATGTTACTGTTGGGGTCACAAAGCTGACTGACAGCCTCTGTAACAGGGAATGTATGTGGCTGATCACCTGCTGAATGCAGGATCAAAGTTTCTTAAGCATCAAGTAAAATGGTTATGGAATGCTTGTGAGATTGGATGTCAAGCTTGGGATGCCTGTAATTACCTTATGAAAGACCCTATGTTTCTTGTGCTTGAGGCTGGGATTCAGGGTTTAGTAGAAGCTGATGTTTCAGTAACACTGTCAACACTTTTCTAGTGCTTACAACACTTGTGCAGTGGGAGAAGGAGACAGTTTAGTTTCCCCACTGCTTCAGTTGTACATTATCTCTACTTGACTCTGCAATCCTAGTTCTCTGGGTGGATTTCCTGACTGAGGTGAGGATAGCAGTTGCTTTCTCCATATTACTGTGCATCACCTTCCCTCTCACCAAGTGCTCTTGAGCCAGGCTTTACAGAAAGGTAAGCGAAAAAGGTTTGTGTTTGCAGGTTGTCCCATTGCATTGCACTTGCTGGACTGCTGTGCTGAGCTCAACTTTCCCCACTACTTTTGAGTAACTCCAGTCTCTTGGAAGCACAACCTCTGGAGCGGTTTAAATCGGGATTACAAGTGCTGAGGTTGAGATTTTAGTATGTGCCTTTGTTCAAGTGTAATGTAGCAGCTCCTGCACTGAACCAGTCTTGGGTTATTTCTAATGTTGGCTCAAAATGCATTGTCTTTTCTTTTTCTTTCCTTAAAACAATTGTGGGATGTTCCACAAAGAGAAAGTTCCTTAAAAATGGGGGTGGGGAGAGGGAACACCTTTGTAAAACGGAGTCGTTGTGATTCCACGGTTGATGATGGTTATATTCCAAAGCCTGGAAAAGCTTTCATCTCTATTTTTCAAGTGTTCTGCACAAAATAAAAAGCCATTTCTATATGTCTATTGGGTTTGTCTCTGTACGTCTCAGTGACACACGGCTTGGGGATGGGGTGAATTGATTTCTAACCTAGGATGGGGCACAACCTTCACTGAGCTTTAATGTTTAAATCTATTCCCAAGACATCGTCTGATCTCCGTGCAAGAAGTTTCCCCAAGTAGATGGGAGTTGCTCTGTGCCAAGACCCGGGTTCAGCTGGAGAATTGGGATTTTGGTGCAGATGAAACGGACTTCTAGGTTTTAGTTTCAGAAAGTGCTTTAGCATGTACTTACCATGATTTCAACTCCTCGTTTGTGCACATGACATTGAATCTGGTCTGTTTTTCAAAGGAACTGCCCCAAATCAACCGGTGGAGCATGGCTCGGCACAGAGTGAGAAGCACGGGTTGTTAAAAGAGTGGTTGTCTGTAGTATGTGTTCCTGGTACAGCACTTGTAAAAGGGTGAGTGTTCCACTCTGGGAATCCTACTATGGGAGGATTCTATGTTCTGTTTTCCTCGTAACTCATCCCAGTTTGCAGGAGGAGAGCGGGATGTGACAAAGCATCCACTGCTTACTTCAGTCCTCCCTCTGTGGCCACTGAGCAGAGCTGATGTGTTCTGAAGGGTGCTGGGTGTACAAACATTGAGGAAAGAGGCATGTAGGGATGGAATAAACTGGGAAGGAAAGAGCCAGGGGCTCTGCTTTGGGAATTTGTGCTGATCTTGCCTTGTAATTAAGGAGTAAATACTCAGCCCTTGTCATTCCTGAATCATAAGAGACACAGATTAGAGTTGGGTTGCAAAGGACCTTAAACCTCATCCAGTTCCAACCCCTGCCATGGCCAGGGACACCTTCCACTGGAGCAGGTTGCTCCAAGCCCCTGTGTCCAACCTGGCCTTGAACACTGCCAGGGATGGGGCAGCCACAGCTTCTCTGGGCACCCTGTACCAGCACCTCAGCACCCTCACAGGGAAGAGCTTCTGCCTAAGAGCTCATCTCAGTCTCCCCTGTTCTGGCAGGTGAAAGCCATTCCCATTTTCTCATCACCTGGGGATCGCTCCCCAGTGCCATTCTGCCACCCCTTGGGCACAGACACTGTTTGTCCCTGCCCTGGTGTGCCCTGGGCTCCTCAGGCCATGCCTGGGGGTCCCTGGAGGGGAGAGCAGGGGAGCTGTGCCTGAAGTGTCAGGGCTCCTGTTGGCAAGTGCTGTGTGAGCCCCTAGGGCATGGAGAGGGGCATCTCCCATGGCAGTGAGGGGCTGTGGGGCAGCAGAGCCGCCATGCGGCTGAGGGCTGCAGCAGGGTGGAGGCGAAGGCCTCACTCCTGTTGCTAGGGCCGCTCTGTGCCTAGCAACGCCTGCCGGTGCTCTGCGCTTGCGCAGAAAGGCGCCCCGCGCCGCGGGGGTGGCCGGGAATGCTCGGGGCCGGCCGCGGCGGTGGCGGCGCCGTCCCGCCGCCGCTATGAACGAGGCGGTGGTGCAGCGTACGCAGGAGTCCTTGGGCCGGGTGATCCGCAAGCCGCCGCTCACCGACCGGCTGCTCAGTAAGCCGCCCTTCCGCTACCTGCACGACGTGATCACCGAGGTGGGCCGCGCACCGGCCTGAGGGCCCGCCGCGCGGTTGCTAGGCAACACCGGGCCTGCCTGCAAGGCGGCCGCCCCCTGGCGGGCGGGGGGGACACACGGGAGCGAGAGGTGTCCCACAGGAGTGCGGGGCTGTAGGGGGACCCTCGGGGGCCATGGGCGCTTTAGGGGGGAGCCCCGTAGGCCATGGACGCTCCAGTGCCTGCGAGGTGGACTCGGCACTTCCCCGGTGCTCTGGGGCCTGTGTGGGGCTGTGCGTGGAGTATGGAGTAAGTAAGTGTCGGGGGATTTAGGCTAGTGAGTGTATGTTACACAGTGGATGTGAAGTCAGCAAGGGAATAATGCAGAGTTGCGTTTCAAATGCATGTGCTGATGTTTGTGTTGTGAGCCTCTTGGATTCACCAAGTACCAAGGTTAAAGATGGACTTAAGTGGGAAGGGAGGCCTGAGCCATAAGCAAGGATTAAATCTTGTTGCAGAAGCACAGCAGAGCCCTGAACCTGCTCTAGTTCTGTCTCTGAAAGCAAGTAAAGCCAACGTATTTCCTATTGCCACACAAGCTTTGCTGAATGAGTATTCTTAATTGACTCTTTTCTGTTTTGAAGGTAATTAGAGTAACAGGCTTTATGAAAGGACTTTACACAGATTTTGAGTTGAAATCGGACAATGTTAAGGTGGGTACGAAACTGCCTCATTTATTTAGCTTTAATGTTGGTATCCTTTGAAACTTGCCACTTTTGGGCTTTCCTGCCTTCAGCATCAAGGGCTTGTCTGTAGTTTTGTGAAGACACTGGAGAAGGTGTTCTTGCCTGTTGATTATATTATGCAGTGCGTGGGATGGGCACCTAGAGATGGATGTGACACAGGCAAGCTGTTGTGTGTAAAGAACTCTTTCTGGACAGTTTCAAAGCAGGGAGCTTTAATCTAGGACCAGATCTAGGTTTTTCAAATGCTACAGATGAAAAGAATCATTATATAGCAAGATTGCCTTGAAGTAGTGAGGTGTTGATGGGAAGTCCCAAGGACTAGAAATCCATCAAACCCTTTTTAGAGTCTTGTGGTCTCTCAATGGAATATATGGCTTTATATTTATTGTTCTATGTGTCTGTATATACACATACAGCTAGATATATGGTGTATACATATAGGCAGTAAATATTCTTGCTTAACCTCTTACTACTTGCCAAGGCATTCGTCTGGTGTATGTATTCCACAATAAGTTTGTTACGATATATAAATGGCTAATTCCTGAAAGAGGATGTTAATGTTATTCCTGAAAACCGCTCTTTTTTTAAGCACAAGGGTGAATTTAGTCTCTGCTGCTCTTCTACTGTCTGCCTCTTTGTTGAGTTGATGCTGAGTTTTCCAACTACTGACTTGCTTCGAACCTTTGTTCACTTACTCATGGCACATATCACAGTGTTTGTATGTTGCTAACTAGGTAGCTGCATCCCTTAGTGATTGTTTAACATAGCAACTCAAAGTATGAGGTCTGTGGGCCTGGCTTGTCATCCATGCAGCTAATTACAGGGATGGTTTATGTACTTCTTAGAGCTAATTGTCAGTCTGAGACGTGTGTTTATTTCTGAGACTGTTCTTATTGTTGGTACTTAGCAGATTGTTGTTTTGTTGGTATTGTCCCTGTTGAAGCTTGTCAGTGAGTTTTATGATGAAGAGCAGCTCAGCACTTCGTGGATGGAGAAAGCAAATTTCTTAGCAGTTGCTGAGTAGGTCTTTACTTGTATTTACATCCCATGATAACTGTGATGTTGCACCGATCTTGAGTATCTATCTGAGATTTTCTTACACAGTCCATGAAATGATGCTTTTTAAAGAGCAGAGGAGAACAAACTGCTGTAGTGTGGGGAAGAACACCTCTAGGTTGTGTTCCTCTCTTAAAACACTGGTCAGGAGAAAGACTTTGCTCCTATAGGCTGCTTCCTTGCATCAGTTAGAGACCGAAACTACCCACAGAGAGCCAGAGCCTGAAAGCAGCAGCCAAAGTCCATGATTTTAGTAGCCATATGTATTTTTATGTGAGGTTGAGCTACTTTGTGTAACACCAGGGAACGATGCTCATGGGGTATGAACATCTGGCAGAAGATGCACAGATTTGGAATGGGCAGGATGCTTTCAGAAAGCAAGGGCAGGCTTGTACCCACTGTGACATACTCCCAAGTGCTGTAGCCTACACACAGTTTCTTGTGGGCTGGGAATAACTGGCAGGTCCTCTTTGTAAGCTGGCTGTGCTGTCGCAGATCACAGGGTATGGAGAAGGAATTTAGGAAAAACTAAAGCACATGGTTCAGCCTCTGTGGCTGCTGGGGCTGGCTCATGCTCTCAACGTCCCATTATGTGCTACACAGCAACATGTACACATGCATGCAGCAACCATCTTTGTTTCTAGTTTCAACTCCCTCTTTCACCTGGCCATAGCAGTGGGGTCCTGAAGTACCCTCTGCTTCTTCTGTGCTACCTTTATTGTCTCCACTGTTGGGGATAACATGTTCTCCTTGGATTGCTGGTCTCCTCCTCCTGCATAGAAACATGCAGGAGGCAGGCTGGCAGCATCCCATGAACCAAATATAGGCTGGAGAGCATGCACATATACTTCAGTGAGTTCTAGTTTGCTTTAGGGATGTATAGTCATGACAGTTCATTGGAGAGAGATGTAAAGAGAATTTAAAGCATGAAGATTCCTTAATTATTGAAACAAATACACCTCTTCTACCAGCTATAATTGGATGATATTGCTGTCTGTGTTTATCAGAAAGGTTCATCTTGTTACGTTCTTGTTCTCTTGTTGTCTTGAACAATAAGGTTGGATATCAGGCTTGCTCTTGTAGTCTCTTACATCAGTACAAGCATCTGAGTCCCTCAGTTTAGACTCTTACAAGTCCTGTAACTTTGGGCTTTCTGTAGGGAAAAATGCTCAGGGCAAGAGCTGACTTTCTTAGCAATATGGGCTGTAACAGCCCTGTTAAAACTCTTCAGTGATTCTTTTACAACCATTTCTTAATCTGTATCTTC